GCACACTGGCACATTCTGTTGCTCTCCAATAAAGTCTCCTGTCGAACAAGTTTGATAAAAAAAAAAAAGAGTTAAAAGCATATTGAGCTGTGAAAGGAAGCTGTTCCCCAGGTGTGTGTGTGAACCAGAGGGAGTGAAACATGGACAAGTACAGGCTACTTTGGGTTTTGTGTATGCACTCAGACACACACACAGATAAAAATGTCATTTTTAGCAAGTTTTCACTTACACGGGGCCAGTTATGTGTGTTCAGTGAACAAAAAGAGTTAGGAAAGTTATTGAATGCTTGTCAGTTTATTAGATCTGTGCATTCAGTCATAAAATGACAGCAGCCTAATGAACCCCTTAAAAAATAAAAGAATTAGTCACTGCTCTTCACAAAAGCTTTAAAAACGACTGTATATTTAATTCATACTGTGAAGACAGCCTATACAGCCATTTTATATTTGATTATTTAATGGCTGTGTTCTAGCTGAATTTTTTTGTTGGCAAAGTTGATTATATAATTAGTATTTTTGTTTAATTTAATTTGTTTCTTTTATTTGTTGTACTTTTCAATTGCTTAAAATTATTTTTTTTTATGATTATATTACTGGTTCCACTGTTGTTTACACAGTGTAACTACTTTGAGTGAACAGACATCCAAAATGTATTTTTTACATCTACATTTACTTTTACATTACATTTTGTACATCAGCAGTATACACACAGTCAAGTTCAACTTTCAAAACATATTGCATTTGATGTGTGTGCAAACATAGATGTTCAACACATGCTCTCTAAAAAAAATCATCCTCATCCAATCTTTGCATTTTATTTTCTTCAAAAGTTACTGATGGCAGAACAGCAGGCAGAGATCTAAATGCAAGATATTTTAAGGAAAACCAAACAAGGGACATGAAGAACTGGTGTTTACTTCTATCGAAGCACTACTTCATGAAGCTTCAAAACCTTTACCAACCTTTTGTTTTAAATCAGTGGTCTGGAGCATGTATCAAATTTGCGAGGTCACATGATTTCAGTGAACAGTGCTTCGTTATGTTGTTACTGTTTCAAACATATTGAACATTCAGTGGTTCTATTTTACTGGGTGATTTGAAGGTAATACAATAAAATCCACATTAATAATCTGCGTTTACTCAGACCAACACTCAACAAAGATCTCTAGTCAGTTTTATGAGTCTGTAGATCAGGGGTGTCCAAACTTTTTGGGCCGAGGGCCAGATGCAAAAAAACAAACGTTGTCGCGGGCCAAATTTTACATACATCACACAGACACGCATTTATTTATATATATATATATATATATATATATATATATATATATATATATATATATATATATATATATATATATATATATATATATATATATATATATATACAGTTGAAGTCAGAATTGTTAGCCCCCCTAAATTATTAGCCCCCGTCTATTTTTTCCCCAATTTCTGTTTAACGGAGAGAAGATTTTTTTCCACACATTTCTAAACATATTAGTTTTAGTATCTCATTTCTAATAACTGATTTATTTTATCTTTGCCATGATGACAGTAAATAATATTTGACTAGATATTTTTAAGACACTTCAATACAGCTTAAAGTGACATTTAAAGGCTTAACTAGGTTAATCAAGTTAACTAGTCAAGTTAAGGTAATAAGGCAAGTTATTTTATAACAATGGTTTGTTCTGAAGACTTAAGGGGCTAATAATTTTGACCTTAAAATGGTTCATAAAAAAATTTAAACCGCTTTTTATTCTAGCCGAAATAAAACAAAAGTCTTTCTCCAAAAGAAAAAATATAATCAGACATACTGTAAATATGTCCTTGCTCTGTTAAACATCATTTGGGAAATATTTAAAAAAGAAGAAATAAATCAAAGAGGGGCTAATAATTCAGACTTCAACTGTGTGTAGATAGATAGATAGATAGATAGATAGATAGATAGATAGATAGATAGATAGACAGACAGACAGACAGACAGACAGACAGACAGACAGACAGACAGACAGACAGACAGACAGATAGATAGATCATAACAAGAACTGCTGCTTAATTGAATGCATGTAATAGCGACACCCGGTGGTTATTTATTGAATTACGTTCATTTTTGTATGGCGGGCCAGATTCTATTGATATTTATAAAAAGCCTCGCGGGCCGCCACAAAACTGATTGCGGGCCGCAGATGGCCCGCGGGCCGTAGTTTGGACACGCCTGCTGTAGATGTTCTAATGAGACCTTTGTTAAACGACAAGGACAACAGTCAACATTATCAAATGAAATGAGTGTAGTTACCTCAATATTGACTAAAAGTTAATTCTACTCATTTGAAAAGAGTTTTGAACTCAGTGTTGAAGGTAATGACTCAATTAAATACCTCATTACTTTAACTTAAATGGAGTAAGTTCACAGTACTCATTTAGATTAGTTTTTCAACTCAAATGATTTGTAGCAATCGGTTTCCTTTAAATGGTTTGAGTTGTCTTAACTTTTTTGGGTTTTACACTGCTCAGTTGGTTTGAGTTCCCTCAATTTATTGGGTGTTATTGGGCTCAAATTGCTTAATTTCCTCAAATGGATTAGGTTCACAGTACTCGTTAGGATTAGCTTTTGAACTTAAATGGTTTGTTGAAATTAGTTTCCTCAAATGGTTTGAGTTACCTCAACTTCTTGGGTTCTGAAGTGTAGTTAATAGTCTTGTTGTCCTGTTTAGCAGAGCCCACAATGAAACAAACAATATAATCCTTAAAAAATAAACAAAAGAATGCATATTACACATTTAATGATATTAGAATATAGTTTCTATTGAAAGTTTGGAGTGTGTTTGAAAAATAAAAAGCCATTTTTAATGCTTGCCTGAGTTTTTGTTGCATTTACACCAGAGATGCCCAACCTAGGGCCCGCAGATCACAGTTGGCCCATGGAAATCTTTGATTTGACCTGCTATCCCATCTGAGAAGAGAGGGAGAATGATGGGGGTGTGGTTATGAGATTATCAATTCAAATTAAATGTAACCCTTTGTTTGTTTAATTGTTAAAAGTAAACCAAAATTAAATGTCTCAATTAAATTGTGTTAATGAAGCAGATTTTGTTTAAATGTACATACTGTCACCCGACAATGTAGAGACTTTGGTGAGCAAATCAAGTCAAAGGCAGTTTCTGCTTGACTAGTGTATTCAGTATTGAACTCCACTGTGTTATTAATTACATTGTTTATGTTTTTAATACAATAAGTTATCATTTAAAAAATGTATACAGCATTATTTAATACAATTTAAAGTAATGTTTTCTATCTGTTTTAAAATATTATGAAGTAAATTGGCACCTTTAATGTAATATAATTTCGTATATTTACCTTCGGCCCTTGCCTCTTTATGATGTTTGGTTTTTGGGCCTTTATATAAAAACGTTTGGTAACCCCTGATTTACAGTACACATGTTGCGTTTTGAATCTGTCAAATCAGCAAATCACATTGCAATTGTTTCATTTGTTTCGAATCGTTGAAAGGCTTTGTTTCTCCCATCACTACAATGAAAACTAACATAGTAAACAGCTCACAAATACTGTGTGAAACAAAGGGGCTAACAAGCAGGCAGTATATCAGAGGTGGTGGAGACATTTAAAGGAATACTCCACCTTTTTAGGAAAAAGGCTCATCTGCTAGAGTTCATCAGTTGGCTTGTATCATTTTTTAATCTATTCACCTAATTTCTTGTTCTGACATGGTCACTTTTAGCTTTGCTCAGCATAATGAACTGAATTGGATTTGACCATTAGCATTCGTTAAAAAGTTTTTTTAAAGTTTTGATAATTTTACTATTTAAAGCTTAAGTATTCTGTAGTTATATACATCGTGTAATAAAGCCAATAAAAAATGATCATTTTCTAGGCCAATATTGCTAGAAACTATACTCTCATTCTTGCATAATAGTCAAGAAACTGTGTGGAGAGTTCCTTTAATCACTGGCGCAACTAACAAGAGTAACTATGGCCACTAATCAGGGTGTGGCACAGAGCCCAGGGTAACCAGCAGACCATAGGGAATGAACAAAGAACAAAACACAACACACATGATGGGGGTTGAGACAGTTACAATAATGTCTTGGTGCTGATTTTAAATAGATTTGTATCTTGGGCTTATTTTAGGGTTTTTAGTTTATTAGCATTAAATGTCGGTTATTTTTCCTGCAGGCACAGGACATTAACATGGCTTCATTTTGATGTTGTACACCAACATCATGGGAATGTTAGATTATGTTTGGAAATGAAAATCAAGTCAGATCCCAACATCCAACCTAAAGTCAGCCCTAAAATCAACCAAATATCAACATCTAATCCTGTTACATCTTGATGTTGTGTGGACGTTATCACTATGACATCTATCAGACGTTGGAGTTTGGTCACTTTCCAACATAACCAATCATAAATCAACCAAATATCAACGTAATTAGACGTCGTTATTAGACATCAAAATAACGTTGTCCTTAGACGCTGGCTAGACATTAAATTTTGGTCACCTGACGTCATGACCTAAATCTAACCTAAAACTACCGTCTGATGATGTTGTGTGTCTGCTGGGTTAATACATCAGCACATACAGATACAATCTCACATATACAGTAGGAAATAATGGGAAATATACAAACAAGTAAACAGGATAATACAGTCAGGCTAGGAGCTAAATCTGTACCATGGAATAGAAAATCAGAAGAAAATAAGAATGTAATGCCAAAAAGGTGTCTGTAACTGCCAAAAATCATCAGACTTTTTTAGGTGAGTTTCTCGAGTGGAAATAGCGTACATACCTGAGACAACCACATTTTAAACAAGGGTAATTTTAGGATTTTTTGAGCCCCTTAGAAAGTGTTGCTATAGACCCTTCAATATTTTTAAATGTTAAATGTTTGTTGGAAATGTTATTTTCATGGGTGCGAATTTTACATTGTTCATTACCCTTGGGGTCAACAGGCTTTAACTGTGCCTTTGCTTCATATCTAGGTGGTGCTGAAGAATGCCCACATGGCAGTGGGGTCTCTGACCATAAACGAAGAGAGGTCAGAGGTCATTGACTTCTCAGTGCCCTTCATCGAGACCGGGATCAGTGTCATGGTATCTCGTAGCAATGGCACAGTATCTCCATCTGCCTTTTTAGGTAAGTACTAAAAACACAGTCCATTGAGATTCAAGATCAAATTCCAGTCTTCATTAATAGTTTCTCTTCCCTCTCTTTTCCTGTGCTCTCAGAGCCCTTCAGCGCTGATGTGTGGGTAATGATGTTCGTTATGCTGTTGATAGTTTCAGCCGTGGCCGTCTTCGTCTTTGAGTACTTCAGTCCTGTCGGCTATAATCGCTGCTTGGCAGACGGACGAGGTTTGCACACACACACATACACACATCAATCTTTCTCCCTTATATCTAGCAGCCGTATGCATTTGATACACAATGTGTATTTTTGCTTTCTAACGTTTTAAAAGTGATATAATGTTATGCTGCTTTTTAGAATATCATTTTATTTTGATTTTGATTATTCTGAAGATGAAGTTTGGATCAAAATTAAGTGCCATGATGCAATTTCCATGATCCATGATGCAAAGCATTAAATGCTCATTTTGTACCCAAACATGAAACTCTCAGGTATCAACAGTTCACCAGATATTGTAGATTTTTTTTACTTTTATTTTGCCTCTGTCTCAACTTGGTGTGTTGCCACCATCAAAATCAAAATGAATTTATATTTACAAAAATACATGTAAGTATGACGGGGAAAACCAAATAGGCTCATTCTAAAAACGTAGCCCTATATACATTCCTGGGGATTGCAAATTATGTAGCCAGAAGTACGTATGGCTGCATTTCGTTTTTTAAAACTAACGCTACGGGGGAGTGTGACGCCATTCCTTTTCGTGCTTAACAGCTCTCTGCTTTCCTCTGTATGGACGCTTTCCCGCTGTTACCGGTTTGTCCAGTTAGCTCACCATGTGCATCTATGGACTTGGGATGCAGAGAGGAGTTGACCACAACCAGTGGCGGAGCTACAATTTTTTACATGGTGTGGCCAGGGGGTGGCCACTGCCACAGGAGGTCAGGGGGTCCATACACACACACACACACACACACACACACACACACACACACACACACATACACACACACACACAAAGACACTGTACTCAAATAATGAATAATACATTAAGGAGTTACAAAGTTTTATTTGCAAAAACAATGCTAAATTCATTTAGAAAAACATTAGCATAAAAAAACACCAAACAAAAAATACTGCAATTACACAAAGCAGACATCAAACAGACCTGCATTTGAAAAGAAAAAGCACATTGTTTGTGCTTCTTTATAAAGAAATCTGATATCTTCCCCATTTTTATCATGTTTAATTGACCCTGTCCAAAAATATAAGTCTGGTTACATCTGATCCAGTTAGAAACTTATTCATTATCATACCTGCACATTAAAATCAGCAACTGATCTAAAAAACATTTCTCTGAAGAAAGTATATGAGCTGGCTATTCCATTATAAATAAATTTAACTCAAAAACAGCTAGCCAAACATTACTTCTCCATAATAGCAAAACAATTAAACATTGTAAATGAAATATAATTACTTACATACAAGGAATGTATCAAAATAAACGTTATTGTTTATTGCTGTCACTTATTGATCAGTAAATCTAGCTTGTGTGGCTGCTACTGTACTGCGCTACTTGATTAAAATAATAGCTTTGCTACTGAAAAGCTATTTGATTTAGAAAGTAGTGACGCTACCGCCATGCTACTGACAAATGTAGTTTAGCTAGTAGTGTCACTACTTGTAGCAACGCTACTGCCCATTACTGTTCGTCTTACTTAAAACTATGCTGTTGTCTTCGGCTCGTCATTGATTTTAAAATAGCTTGAGCTTTGCCTGCAAAATTCCAAAAACTTCTTTAGAAAAATGAGATGTCAATCAACATCCGGAACTGCAAGCAGCAAATAAAATTCAGACACCTCTCTGGCTCCGCCACTGGCCACAACAGGTTTGAGCCCGGCGAAAAACCGTTCGAGAAAGCAGGTAAAACAAAAGCCACAAAATTAGGTAAAATCAGAAAATGTGACAAAAAATCAGGCGAGGGCTTTTCTGTTTCTGGATTGTTTTTTAAAACTGTCGGTCGGGTTTAGGGAAGTGGGTACTGATCAATCTGTGATTTAGAAAACACTATTGGTTGGGTTTAGGAAAGGAGCAGGGTTGGTCAGTCGATCGGTCAGTCAGTCAGTCAGTCGACAGCAGCCTCTGATGAATTTATGTGTGAACAGCAGGTGCGAGAGAAATTTGAGATCTGACAAAAAGTGTAGACAGCGCCCTCTGGTGAATTCATGACAACAAAAACTGAAAAAAACATACCTCCTGGGGCGTATTTGGCACTCTCCAGAAATGTATAGGGGTACATTTTCAGAATGAGCCTGGGTTGGTGAAAACACTGGAAATTAATCTGTTATTTGTCATTATTTTGTGTTAAATAGGAATTGACTGATTATATACACCTTGAATATAAAACGTTCAAAACTGATCACTTCATTTGTGGCTATTTTTAATAGATATGATTAATCTGCCCTTTTACTCCTCTCGGATTCCTAATAAATTAAACCATAATAAGTTCCTATTTCAATTTCTCTCCCTCTTTACACTCAATCAGAGCCTGGCGGTCCCTCCTTCACCATCGGAAAAGCTATTTGGCTTCTTTGGGGTTTGGTCTTCAATAACTCTGTCCCCGTGCAGAACCCCAAAGGCACTACTAGCAAAATCATGGTTTCGGTCTGGGCCTTCTTCGCTGTGATTTTCCTGGCCAGCTACACTGCCAACCTGGCTGCATTCATGATTCAAGAGGAATATGTGGACCAGGTGACTGGCCTGAGCGATAAAAAGGTAACAGGCTTTGGTCGAATTTTAACAGCATGAGTGAAAGTGAAGCACGGGTGTCTGAAAGCTGTCATTAAAAATATAGTTCTCATTGATCTCATTTGTCCTACTGTCAGAATATTTCACCTATTCTAACTCTCCAACATGAAAAGAAATGTTTTTCTTTTTCACCTTAAGTGAACGTGACTTGACTTGATTTTTATCCTTAAACTGCTAAGGTTATTTTGCATAGACCAGCCGATAAATGATGCAATATTAAAGGTTCGCTGTGTAATTTTATGATGTCATGATATGTTCGTGTGTTAGTTTAATGTGCAGAGACAATGATGAGTGAGTCATTTTAGGGTTTTCTATGGCTCTGGTGCTTTAAAGTTCATCCAAAAATGAAATTTTACTCACCATTTACGCACCCTCAAGTGCTTCAAAACCTTTATGAGTTTTTAATGTTTGTTGAACACAAAGGGCCCTATCATAGACATGGCGCAATAAGGCGCAAGACGTGTTTTCCGTGATTTGTTGTTTGTTGACCAGTGCAACTCATTTTTAAGGATTAAAATGTTACGAAAATTAGTATTTTCTACATAAATATAAAACCCACTGGCCCCATGCCTTCACCTCAGGGGGCTTTATCAGATTATTTATGACAATTTGGATTTTTATAATGTTGTTATTAGTAATAGTATCATGTATTATACTCATATTTATATTTGTTTTAATAAAACAAGTTTAGATTTCTCCACCTGTCTGGTTTTGTAGGTGTATGCATCCCCATATGGGGAATAAGAATAGGACGTGTGTTTGGATATAACTCAGTTTTTTGATTGTTTATTTATTCATTTGCTGGAAATCAGAAGTGAATTTTGAAATAGTTTTGAAACAAATCTTTGCACCTGAAAAATGAAATTAAATATGTAGGCTAATAGATATCTTCAGTGGAGTAAGTACAACACAGTTTCCTTACTCAGGATTGAAGTAAATAGTAAAAGTAAAGTAAAGAGAGAGTAAAGAGTAAAGTTATTATTCCTCCTCGCTGCAGAATGTCTGTTTAACTGATTTCTCGCTAATGAAGCGTTCACATTTTTGATGCACAAAGTCCGCCATGTAAATATCAAATGCACCATATTGAGCAACTCTTTTTATTCCTTTTTTTTTAAGTCCAAATATCTAAAAAGTTTTAAATCAAAAAGCATATTGTGTTGTTTTAAGAAATAATCTGCCAATGGGGTAAGCAAAATAATCGTGTTTTATCTATTGACATAAGATTATTCAACACAATCTCACGGCAATTCATAACGTTTTGATTTAGTGGCTAATTCGTATAAATTCGTACGATCTAATTCGTACAATTTAGTACGATTTGCTTATCCCCCAATGACGGTTGGGTTTAGGGGTGGGGTTAGGTGCCACGCCTCCTTTTTAAAATCATACAATTTCGTACGACTGAACTCGTCCAAATTTGTACGAATTAGCCACTAAACTGGCAAAACGTAAAATACTTACGTTTTCTCGTGAGATCAGGCTGGATTATTTTGCTTACCCAATTGGCAGATTATTTTGCTTGTTTTAAGGAAAAACTCACTTAATTTTGCCATATTATATCTTAAAACAAGACAGTATTTTTGCTTGTCTAGAAAATGCTAGAAATGATTTATGACTTTATATTTATTTAAACATTTTTTTGAAATGACGATATTTTGAAGACTGTTGGAATAGCCATTGTCATTCTACATGACAAAAATGTATAGTAAACAGCTGCTGCTTTCCAACATTCTTCGAAATATCTTCTTTTGTGTTCAACAAAATGAATTTAAACAGGTTTGGACGTAAATATAAGACCATCATATTAGGTTTGATTTAGGTCATGACGTCAGGTGACCAGAATTTAATGTCTAGTCAGCGTCTAAGGACACGTTATTTTGACGTCAAATGTTCGTCAGGTATGGCTACCAAAATCCAACGTCCGATAGACGTCATATTGGTAACATCCACACAACGTCAAGCTGTAACATTATTAGACGATATTTGGTTGATTTTAGGTTGGACGTTGGACATTGACGTCAATTTGACTTTCATTTCCTAACAAAATGCAATGTCCCCACGACGTTGAGGTACAATGTCAATCTGACGTCATGTTGACGTTCTGTGCCTGCTGGGTTCATCTGTGTGATCCAACATGTCCGTTTCTGGCTAAACCAATGACATGAGTTGGAGAAATAACCTATAAAAAGAATTTAAGACAAACAAAACCCATCCAAATCTTGAGTAACATTTGCTCATAAGTAAATCCATGCATGCTTACACTGCGCAGTTTTGGATATGACATCCTGCTACCAGTTTTTAATATCTTCCAATGACTGGTGACACATTTGGGCAACCACATGCTGACTGGTTTTTGTGGTAATTGAGGTTTGTGTGTGTGTCATATATTTGCATGGGGGGAAAATTGGGCTAATGTGAATTAGTCAACCGCTCTGAAACAGAAAACAAGACTTGACTTTGAGAGGGTGCTGTAGCCTGTTTAATAATTGATGTTTTGAGAATTTGTTTTTACTCCAAGTCATGCTTTACTTTTTATGTCTGGCAAAGCTTCGAGTGTCTAGAGTCCAAGTGTTTACACGAGAAATAGTTCTATTATGAATGGAGGAGATAAAAAAAGAGATGTCTTGTATCTTTGAGGCTTTTTTGAAATGACACCTCTCCTTGCACTTTGTCCCTTGAGCGTTCATTGACAATGTGGACACTGCTGAGATTATATATATATTTTTTTTCTTTCTGTCTCTCTTTTCTAGTTTCAACATCCGAATGACTTCTCCCCTCCGTTCCGCTTCGGTACTGTGCCCAATGGCAGCACCGAGAGAAACATAAGGAACAACTACAAGGAGATGCACAGTTATATGACCAGCTTCCATCAGAAGAATGTAAACGAGGCCCTTCACAGCCTGAAGTCGGGGTGAGAAACGACAAAAGAGAGAGATGATATCTTCATATAAGAATATAAGGGCTGGGAGGAGAATAAGAGGGGAAGACAGGGAGGTGTGTGTGTGTGCGTGGGTGGTGAAATCTGGACTGATAATAGCATCAAAATGAGGCATCCTGGAGGGGCATTGTTTGGAGATGCTGATTGATGGATTCATCCTGAATCTGCTTTCTGTGATTCTTTGTCATATCAGTACTAAAAGTGGGCATTTTAAAGGGGCAGATTTTTTGGTTTATTTTGTGCTGATCTATATGACGGTCATCTTGGATGTTCAATAATGGTTACTAGGTTAAAGAAAATAGTTTTTAACTGGTCATGTGATTTACGTAAAAATATAAGTAAAAAAATTTATGTAAAAATTACGTTAAAAAATAAATAATGAGGTCGAAAAATAAATTTGACCTCACGTTGTGTGAATCGTATTGAAAGCGTATTGAACAATTTTAGTCTACCCAATTCAACTGTACGGCATGTTTTTGGACTGTGAGGGAAACTGGAGCACCCGAAGGGAACTCACACGAATGCAGGGAGAACATGCAAACTCCACACAGAAACGCCAACTGACCCAGCCGAGGCTTGAACGAGCGACCTTCTTGCTGTGAGGCGACAGCACTACCAACTGCGCCTATATTATATTATATTATATTATATTATATTATATTATATTATATTATATTATATTATATTATATTATATTATATTATATTATATTATAGGGCGACGCAGTGGCGCAGTAGGTAGTGCTGTCACCTCACAGCAAGAAAGTCGCTGGGTCGCTGTTTTTTCAATAAAGTGTTTAAGGAATTATATATTTTAATATGATATCACTTTTCGAATGCATTTATACTAAAACTCTCCATAGTGAAGTAAGACGAAAGCAAAATGTATCCATTATGCACATCATTAATGTAAGGAAGTGCATTTATACTTTGGGTTCACACTTGACTGTTTATACAAATGACATTTATTTTGAAAATAAAGTGAACAGGAAATGTTTGTGGAACAACAGTTTTACGAGGGAACACAAAACAACTTTGCAGGTTAATGCAAAAACTTTTTTTTAAAATTTCCTCTCACTCAGTTTTTTTTTTCTCTCACCCATTTTTTCCCACACCACAACGTCTCTTCCAGGTCTCGGTACGTTTGTTTATACTAGTTGAATATATTAGTAACATAAGCTTACATTGTAAAATACTTTTAAAAAGTGTTTATCAATCCTAGTGATAATTATAACATTTATTTCTACATTGTTAAAATCAAGCGATGCATCTTTTTATATTATTTAATAGAATTGAGATAATGTTAATAATAACGTTAAAGATTGTTAAATAATAAATTCATAAATTTTATGTAATGGTCTCATATTGTAAAGTGTTATTTATTTTATTTAAAACTAAAGATATATCATTGGTAAATACCTTTTTACGACACTTGTTTATTTTTAATGATTTTGTTTATTATCTCATAAAAGATATACACATAATTAGGGCTGGGCAATTAAAAATCGGTATCAGTATTTATTGACCAAACACTGTTGTCAATTACAATAATAAAAAAGTTCTTTTTGAATCGGTTTAGTTTTATTACAATGTGACTGCTGAGCGTGCGCCTTGGAAGGAATGCCAATAAGCTTAGGGTTATTTCCAATCAAGGCGCGCGGCTTGCACACACAAATAGGTGGCTACAGTAGCAGTGAGGAGATTGTAAATAAAAAAGGATGTAAGGATGTCGCAAGAGTGGCTTTTTTGGTTTCTTTACTTGCGCATCCCAGCATCTAGCTTTTTTAGCATAGGGATAATGTAGTCATTTAACTTTAAAATTTGTAATGTTGCAGTATGTGGATGATGATGGTTAGTTTCTCTACTTGAAAGCTCAGAGTTGATTATTATAATTTGTTTTGTTAATTTGTTTGAGGTTTACTGTATCGTTACTATTGACACCTTTCAGATGTTAATCTACCTTAAAGTTTGCTTTGATTGTTCAGCATTTCCACGTGACCATTGAACACACTTTGTAACATTTTCTTTATAAAGTTTAAGAGTCTTTTTTACGCTTATGTTTATATTAATATAAGGCATAAGAGACAAGATATTGTTTATTTTTTTGTTTTTAAATTATTACATTTATTTTCCTTAGTAATGTTGGTAAATTAAAATAAATATATAAAAAATCCTAATATCCCTAAATAGATTGTAAAAAAAAAAATTCAATATTTATTGATTTATCGAATGATAAGAAATATTATAATCAGTTTCAACGCTGTATCGCTTAGCCCTACATATAATACATTAAACACAGTGATACATATCTAAGTTCTGAATAAAACAAATATTATTTGAGTATGTTTTGCAAGAAAATGCTGTTTCCTACTTGCATTCATGTTCTACGTATGAAATTGTGAAGTTGTTTGAAAATAACCCCCTTACACACAAAAGACGGCACTGGAAATGTCTCATACACAAATGTGTTTGGCAGCATTTTAATTTTCATAAAGACGTGTCAACATTCTAACAATGTTCCTTTCCCTCCTCCTGTTCAGTAAATTGGATGCATTCATCTACGATGCAGCGGTCCTGAACTACATGGCCGGACGTGATGAGGGCTGTAAGCTGGTGACCATTGGCAGTGGTTATATCTTCGCTACTACAGGGTATGGCATTGCCATTCAGAAAGACTCAGGCTGGAAAAGAGCAGTGGACCTCGCTATTCTGCAGCTCTTTGGAGATGGTAAAGATCACACAACTGCACAAACCACAGCAAAATATATTCCATTCTTCAGCATCGGATTCACTAAATCCGGTAACCACGCAATCAAACCCCAAAATCCAGTTTTAGCAGGATATAAGGCAGTGACAGGAAGCAGACAGTGCCTGGGTAAAATTTGGTGTGGGTGGTTAGTGAACAAGACAGCTTTTTGCACTGAAATGCTGTTTGCAAAAGTGGCATGAATGTGTAGAGGATTCACAGCTTGAGATGTTTACTTCATTCACTTCTTCTTTAAATGCTTCTCAATGTGCCCTAAAGGCAAACAGTTTTGAAGAATACCTGGCAAGAGATGACAAGTGCCTACACTGTCTGTTAGAACGCCAACAAGCATGCCACACAAACGGCTATTAGATGTGTGAAAATGTGGCATCCTGATTTTCAAAGCGTGCTTTGTGAGAAAATCACATCATGATAAAACTGATATTGAATTAAAGCACTCATTAAATTATCGAGGATACATCCTATAACATGCTTAGTAATTAGATCACATATTGTGATTTCAGCAGGTGTTACAGATGATGAAAATCTACAGGACTGTAACATGCAGTGTCAATTCAAAGTTGTCTTTTTAGCATATTTGCCTGTTAAAGTACCGAACCGATAAGTGGTATCAATAAAAGTAGCAATATCGTTAAAACCTTAACAATACTTATCCCGACATATAGGTTTGTCATTACAGGAATAATTTTTTTAAAAGAAACATTACAATAAAATATATGCAGATACAGTGAGCATAAATATGTCAAAAAGCTACCCTGAACAGTAATGAAATGTTCAACTACTGTAATAGCTCTACTGTAACAGTGTCAGATACACAGCACTGAAATGTGTTTATCTCCCCATCTCTAATTCAGCTTGATTTGAAAGCTTTCCTTCAGAACCTACTAGTGATCCAGATCCAGGGGCCATTTCTGGATATCAGCGTCTCTTTCGCAAACAGCATCTGAGATGACAGGCTGTTTGGAGCACATCCAAAGACACATGCAGAATATGCCCTATGCACTCCACACACGCATAAACAGTCTTAATGACCTCAGACATTCAGGATGATATATTGTAAAGAGAGCTTATAGATATATGGGCACGGCCATACAAAACCCTCTCAGATTGGCATCTAGATAGATTTATATAATATATATCCCCTACTTAGCTATCCGCCATGCATGCATGAAGATGTCTTGCAAGCTGGATGTGTTAGATTAGATTAGTGGCATGGTGAGTGTTTATATGCATATTGACAAGCAGGCAGTGCACCTCGATTCAGCACACTGACACCGGTATGGCATCTAAGGTACGGTTGTGTGTGTTATATAAGCCAACGTATGATCCAGGTGCAGGAATAGAGTCCTATTTGCAAGTGTCAAGGGGGCGCTTGTGTTATTGCAAAAGTACACTGGGAAGGCATCGACTGTGTGACATATACATGTAGGTACACATGAATGCACCGGCACAGCATGCGCACACCCGCACACACATTCACCCTCAAATAGGTGCTGGGGATTTGACGGATTTGAAGGCTTAAGTCACCAACTGAACTTCCAAGTGTGTAATAGAAATGCAGCCAATTGAGGAAGCATCTACGTTAATCTGGGTTGCATCTTTTGCTCTGCTTTTAGCCTTCACAAAGATCTTTTACTTGTGAAAATAGGCTTTTTAAAGATGTTTTCCAAAGTGGATCAATTTGAAACTCTTTTTGTAGACTAAAAGGTGTAGTGTAACAAAATTAGATAATTAGTTGTGTGATGCATATTTTACCACAGTATTCTGGCTTTCATCTTTTCCCACCTGGTATAAAAAAAGCACCTATGATGAAAATGATTAATCTTTTAAATTAATCGTTTGTAGGCTGTTTGGACAGAACTGTGTGTAGGTATAGTGTGCCCACAATCTTATTGGGGTGATATCAAGACAATAAGTTTCCTGACGTTAAAATAGGCCCCAAATCCTTTCTATTTTGATGCCCACCGCAACGTGAGGTAGGATTTTGGTTTCCCCGCCCACTGAATTGATTGACAGCCATGTATTAACATGTCTCCATAGTAACATGTCTCATATCAACAAGACAGCAAAGGATGAGTTTTACAAGTTTAAACCGGTTTTAAATCAGTGCATGTTTGTAATGAATTACAGGGATTTTACCATCTTTATTACCACAGCCACGTGTCAGTACACTTATAAAAGATACTTCAATCCCAGTTTGAGGACATTAAATCAGGTTTATTTTGTACATTAACATAACAGTTATCCATACAGCAATTGATATTAATGTGTATCCTGTCACATTTGCTTTGCAAAAACAGTGCAAAGTTAAACGCACGCTGTGTGAGTGTCTGTGCGTGTGAATTTTGTAAAGACATTGTGTGACTCATCATTGCACAAAGGCTTGAATTAAATCCACAACAAATATATCAAATAATCATTGGTAAAGTTCTTAATGTAGCATTTGCCTGCAGCTAGCTCTCTGCAACTCTCACATGGTCGCCCACTAAAGCTAAGCAGGGCTGCGCCCGGTCAGTACCTGGATGGGACACCACATGGGAAAGCTAGGTTGCTGCCGGAAGTGGTGTTAGTGAGGCCAGCAGGGGGCACTCAATCTGCGGTATGTGTGGGTCCTAATGCCCCAGTATAGTGACGGGGACTCTATATACTGCTCAGTGAGCGCCGTCTTTTGGAAAAGATGTTTCGAAAAAGAGTAAGGGTTTAACCCCGGCATCCTGGAGATTGAGACACTCTCTGACAGGCATGTGGAAACAGGGGGTGGGGAGAAATAGCATTAAAGGCACAGGGAACAAAAACGGCTACATTGTGTTCACAGCTAAAAATTCCAACATTCTGAAAGAGAAAATAAATAATATGATGGTTGTTTTGAGCTGAAACTTTACAGACACATTCTGGAGACACAAAATACTTATCCTAAATCTTGAAAAAGGGGTAAAATACAATAGGTTCCCTTTAAGATGTTTTTGTTGATCCAAACACAAGTGGAAAATGCTAAATACAGGTGTAAACAGGGTCTAAAATAGTTGAGTTTGTTGAGAAATTGTCCTAATACATTTTTTATTATTATATTTCTGATATGTTGAGCATTGACCACTTGTTCCAAACCAGTTTGAGTTGTTTTCTTCTAAAAAAAAAACATAGGAAGATGTTTTAAATAGTGGTGGAAACCTGTAACGATTGACGTCTATAGTATTTGCTTTTCCCATTATAGAAATCAGTGATTACAGGTTTCCAGCATTGTTTGTTTTCAGTTTCAGCTAATTAGTTTAGAGTCAAGAGTGATACATGATAAATGGAGTAAATAATAGGATTTTCATTTATGGATGAACTTCATTTTGGGACCTTTTAGAAAATGCTAACAGAGAAAATTAAATAAAACACCTCAACAATTCAAAATAAAACACCTTTTTTAAATGTATCTGGAATAATGTTGATGTAGCCTGGATTCTTTAAAATGTGTTTTGTTTTTTTTGAGTATGATTTATTGAGCGTGAGGAAAATATTTAAGAATATCTGCATTTGTTCCTCAAGACAGACCTGCAGGATCCTGTCCCTCCTTTGCGGGCTGTCAGGCCCTCGGGGCCCTTATTAGAGCTGGGAACCAAATCTCAAGTGACTCCCATAAGCAATCATTAATGAGAAGAAGAGCTCCAGTGTGTGTGTGAGTTTGGATTAATCCGTCATGACAAATGTTACACTTCACAGGGGCCGTAATTTGTTTACTGTGCACAGTTTTGTGGGGGCTCTAAATACATGCAGTGCCGAAACGCATTGAAATCGTCATGGACAGACAAACATGAACAGACACGTCTGCTAACAGTAAAGCTCGAGAGCATTCAAAGCTCACAAACGTACAAAAAACACACAGATGGAGAGGCAGAAAGTAGAAATTCAAAGACGTACAAACAATCGCTCTCTGTTTCTAACCCACATGCAAACCAAATGCTAAAAATGGCAGTCATTTACCTCTGTGTTTGTAGGTGAGATGGAGGAACTCGAGGCCCTGTGGCTGACTGGCATCTGCCACAATGAGAAAAATGAGGTGATGAGCAGTCAGCTGGATGTAGACAACATGGCCGGTGTGTTCTACATGCTGGGAGCTGCAATGGCCCTGTCCCTTATTACGTTCATAGCAGAGCACCTCTTCTACTGGCAGCTGAGATTCTGCTTCATGGGTGTGTGCTCGGGCAAGCCTGGCATGACCTTCTCCATCAGCAGGGTGAGTGCCAGCTTTATGTTATTCATCTGTAAGCAAACATGCACTTGGGTCGTCTCAATCACTCGCCTATTGCACCAACCTGATTTCACCAAGTATAGGACCCGTTCCTAGATTTACATCTATGTTGAGCCTGAAACAACATTTCAATCAGCCAATCAGAATTAAAGGGTACATTTACCAATTATCAAATGGTTTAGGCTTACTGTTAGGTTTATGCACTTCTACATGATAGTTATCCTACTATTATTCCTCTCTGATTTTGGGAATAATTAACAGTTACGGTTGGGTTAAGGGGTAGGGAATAGTTATGGATAACATTTTCGAACAAAACTAATGTACCAGGATCAACATAGATGTTAATCCAGTATCGCATCATACTTGGCAAAATCATGGCGTGCCACATATTGTGTTCAATTATAAGAACTACAGACCTCAATTAGACGATTTAAGATAGATATGACACTGTTTATCATTTTATGAATTAGCATCTTTGTCTTGTTTACCAGTAAAAATGTATTGAAATGAAAGTTTGGATAAATTAGGTCATTCATTGAGAAAATTTGTCTTTTTGTTTTGACCTAAACATCAAGTTTTCATTAAACTATAATTTAATTAAGTTTAAATTCTATTTAACAGTAACATTAAAGTGGAAGTGAAGCAGTCAGCCAAGTTTACATAATTTTCCACTTAAAAGAAAATATTTGTTACAAACTCGATTAATGTAACCATTTTGAAGACAAGAGCATGTTTGACTGCAGTTTTTAGAGCTAGGGCGTCGCCATCTTGGAATATCGTTGTGTCTGACATCACAGGGTTGGTTCTGTTCCCTCAGCTGAACAGATACAATGGAAGTAATGGACTAAAAACGGAGACTACAAAGCTAATTTAACCCAATGAATGATCTTGTGGATGTGCATCGCAGAGCTGGTGCAAACACAAGCATCAAAGTTATGTCTAAAATATACAAAAGATATTTACATTTTCAATTTTTCGAATAGTTTTTGTTTGATGCGCTTTAGTCCAGTCTTGATTAAAATAATACATGACTTAAGTCACATCTTTCCGGATTATGTCAAGACATATCCTTTTCAAGTCAATAAACTCAATCTCTCAACCTATATAAAGGCTGTAAACCTGACATGTGAAAAACGATGCTGATATTACTTTGTTTTAAATGCAAAAAGAGGTGAGGGGCTGTAGTATTGAAAAGTAAAAGTACCTGCCTCCATGATGTTGGTACGAGACCTTGTTGAAACCCAGTCAGGCAGCGTAATACAGTGAGTGAACCAAAGTGCATAGAATGACTGGTAATTAAAAGATTTTAAAAAATGATAAATTAGACACAACTCTGATGCTTGTATTTGCACCAGCTCTGCGATGCGCTTCCACAAGTTCATGCATTGGGTTAAAATATCTTTGCAGTCTCCGTGTTCAGTCCAATACTACCATTACTGTCCAAACACACATTTGCTGTGTAAAACTGTATTACATGTGATGTATTATGTGAAAAGGATACATACAGTGCATCCGGAAAGTATTCGTAGTGCTTCACTTTTTTCTATTTTTTATGTTACAGCCTTATTCCAAAATGGATTAAATGCATTTATTTCCTCAAAATTCTACACACAACAGCCCATAATAACAATGTGAAAAAATATTTCTCTAAATTGTTGGAAATTTATTAAAAATAAAAAAACTGAAAGATCACATGTACAGAAGTATTCACAGCCTTTGCTCAATACTTTGTTGATGCACCTTCGGCAGCAGTTACAGTGTCAAGTCTTTTTGAGTTTGATGCCAAAAGCTTGGCACACCAGTCTTTAGGAATTTTTACCAATTCCTCTTTGCAGTACCTCTCAAGCTCTATCAGGTTGGATGGGAAGTGATGATGTACAGCCATTTTCAGATCTCTCCAGGTATATTCAATAGGATTTAGGTCTGGGCTCTGGCTGGGCCACTCAAGGACATTCACAGAGTTGTTTGTAAGCTACTCCAATTATATTTTGGCGGTGTGCTTTGGGTCATTGTCCAGCTGGAAGATGAATCATCACCCCAGTCTAAGGTCAAGAGCACTCTGAAGCAGGTTTTCATTCAGGATGTCTCTGTACATTGCTGCATTCATCTTTCCCTTTATACTGACGAGTCTTCCAGTTCCTGCTGCTGAAAAACATCCCCACAGCATGATGCTGCCACCACCATGCTTCACTGTAGGGATGGTATTAGCCTGATGATGAGTGGTGCCTAGTTTTCTCCAAATGTAATGCCTGGCGTTCACTCCAAAGAGTTCAATTCAGTCTCATCAGACCAGAGAATTTGTTTCTTATGGTCTGAGAGTCCTTCAGATGCCTTTTGGCAAGTTCCAGGCGGGGAGTGGCTTCTGTCTGGCTACTCTACCATACAGGCCTGATTGGTGGATTGCTGTCCTTCTGTAAAGATCCAATCTCTCCACAGAAGTACGCTCAGACAGAGTGACCATCGGGTTATTGATCACCTCCCTGTCTAAGGCCCTCCTCCCCTGATCACTCACCTTAGATGGCCGGCCAGCTCTAGGAAGAGTCTTGGGGGTTCCAAAAATCTTCCACTTATAGATGATGGAGGCCACTATGCACATTGGAACTTTCAGAGCAGAAGAACATTTTTCTTTAACCTTCCCCAGCCTTGTGCCTCGAGACAATCCTGTCTCAGAGCTCTACAGACAATTCCTTTGTCTTCATGCTTGGTTTGTGCTTTGACATGCACTGTCAACCATGGGACCATATATAGACAGGTGTATGCCTTTTTAAATCATACTTAGAGCTTCACGGCAAAGGCTGTGAAAACTGCTGTACATGTGATTTTTCAGGTTTTTTATTTTTTAATAAATTTCCAACAACTTAAAAAAAATATTTTTTTCACATTGTCATTATAGGGTGTTGTGTTTAGAATTTGAGGAAATAAATGAATCCATTTTGGAATAAGGCTTTAACATAAAAAATGTGGAAAAAGTGTAGCGGTATAAATACTTTCCGGATGCACTGTACATGCAATTATGCTTAATTTAATTTTGATTTGTGGGTGGTACAGGCCAATACTTTTCAATCCCCATATTGTGCTTATGCAACATTTGGAAATCCAACCCTTGATCTTGAGCAAAAAGGCCAAAAGCAGCAGTCTCACGTTTTAGACACCGAGGCATCAAAACACGCCTCAAGTCATTTGGAGTGGTGCCATGACCCAGATAATGCCAGGGATGAACACACAGAGTGAATATCAGTTTATGTGACCAAATTAGCAAATGACTTAAACCTGGCTATACCCAAGTTATTCAGTCTTGTGGGGAAAACTAATACAATTTTGATCCGTTAGCCAGCAGGAATATGTTTATAACCAGATACAAGGAAACTGATTTCAAACTCAATATAATTCCTTATAAGATGTAGATGGATGTCGAAAGCACTGTTACTGTTGGGCGAGTAAAAAGAATGCAAAGCGAATAGAGGCGAAAAGAGGCAACAGACAAAAATGAAGAGAAAGGCACCCCTCAAGAGAAAGCAGGAAAGAGAAAGAGAAATAAGATAACACTGAATGGAGAATATGTTCCAGCCCAATCGGATTGAAGGGTCAGGAGATGAATGAGAATAAGAGTCACACTGGGAAGGATGACCTGTGTTAAAAAAAGACAGAAGGTAGAGGAGATAAGAGGAGATAAAGAGAAGAGGGAAAAAAAAATACACAGGAGTGGATAGACACTAAGCGTGACTAAGAGCGAGACAGGAAACATTTCTGACATGTTGCCTCACCGGAGGGACCGATCGCCAGTAGAAGAGTAACCTTTAGCCTTTGAAATGTTTTAAGGAGAATTCTGCTTGTTCCACGTGCGTTTCATGCATTAATTGTAATAAAAATGTTTTTATGGTTGATGTTATTTAAATAACTTTAAAAGACATTACAATATTTAAAAGACAATGAAGTATTTCTTACAATGACACATTAGCCATATTACGCAATTAATTTGTCATGGCAGTCATGAAGGGGAGAGACAGAGAAGTAGACAGTGGTGGCAGCTGAATTTTAATCGCATTGATTGAGACACTGATAGGCAGTCAAAACCACAGAGTTACTGCAACCCTGTCACCATGTCATCATCAATCACAACCTCTTTCACCCCTGCCGTTTCTCTTTCTTGAACAAATTCTATTTTCCTCTCTCTCCTTTCAACTCTTTCTGTCTCCTTCATTTTCCTTTTTCTCCTCTTGTATATATGTCAGAGGATTAAAGACAGTGATGAACAAACTGTTGATGTTAAACATGGCTTGTTAAAGAAAATCCCTAGAAATGAAAGGTTGGCCTTGAAAGGTTTGATTTGAACCTTTCATCATAATTGTGAACGTTTGGTGTTAATTATACATTTCATTAAATGGTGATCTAATCCCACATTGTTTGTTCCTTCTCTTTTCCTTTGTTTTTGCTTTTGTTTTATTTTTTTCTGTCCATTAGGGGATCTACAGTTGCATCCACGGTGTTCAGATTGAAGAGAATAAATCAGCTCTTAACTCACCATCAGCCACTATGAAGATGAACATGAACAACACCCACTCCAACATTCTCCGCTTGTTGCGTACTGCCAAAAACATGACCTCTGTGCCTGGGGTCAATGGTTCACCCCACAGCGCATTGGACTACAGCCACCGTGAATCAGCCGTTTATGACATCAGCGAACACCGGCGCAGCCTAGCAGGCCACTCAGACTGCAAGCCTCCACCGTATCTACCAGAGGACAACATGTTCAGCGACTATGTAAGCGAGGTGGAGAGGACTTTTGGGAACTTGCACCTGAAGGACAGCAACCTGTACCAGGATCATTACCTACACCACCATGGGGGATCTGAACTGGCTCTCGGTATGTCGGGTCCCCTGCCTAACCGACCTCGTAGCTTAGGGAGTGCCAGCTCATTGGAGGGTGGGTACGATTGTGACAGTTTAGGGGGAGGGGTAGCGCCCATCTTTACCACCCAGCCACGGCAGTCGCTGACACATCGGAACAGGGAAAAGTTTGACCTGATTGCAGGTCACCCAACCCAGTCAAGCTTCAAGTCTGGCCTGCCTGATCTATATGGAAAGTTCTCCTTCAAGGGTGGGGCATCCAGTTCAGGGTTTATTGCAGGACATGACAGGTACTGCGGGGGAGGTGGGGTGGGATCGGGAGGGGACGATGGAAACATTCGATCCGACGTGTCAGATATTTCCACTCACACTGTGACCTACGGGAACCTTGAAGGGCACAGCAAACGGCGCAAGCAGTACAGGGACAGCCTAAAAAAGAGACCCGCTTCTGCCAAGTCTCGCCGTGAACAGGATGAAATTGAGCTTGGCTTCAGGAGACGTCCCCACCACACTATCCATCATCATCACCACCATCATCCAGCAACACAAGCACACCGCTCAGCCACCCCTCCTGTGGAGCGCAAGAGCCAGAGAGGTGGTAACTGCACCTCCTATCTGTTCAGAGACAAAGAGAATTTGAGGGACTTTTATGTAGACCAGTTTCGAGCCAAGGAAGGCGCATCCCCATGGGATTTGGATTTAAGTGATGCTCCTGGAATGGGTGGAGGAGTGGGACTGGGCGGAGGCAGCTGCGGTGGAGTAGTTAGTAGCGGTGGTGCTGGGGGAGCATGCACTAGTTTGGTTCCCATGGAAGATTTCCTGAAAGGTAAATCCAAGAAGACAGAATGTAAGGGTGGAATGGGAGGAGGATCACCTGGGCAACAGGGCCATGCATGCTGGGAAAAGGGCATCGGAGGGGTGGGAGGGTTGGCCGGCGGGGATTGGGAATGTCGCAGTTGCCACAGTGGAGGAGTTGGAAGTGGAGGAAGCAAGCCAGTTTGCATGCATGGGGGAGGCGGGGCCGGTGGGTATCCAGCGGCTGGGGGAGTTGGGGGATCCAGTGGAGGGAGTGGACAAATCTCAAGCCGCCCTAGTTCAGCCACCTGCAAGCGATGTGATTCGTGCAAGAAACCGGGCAACTTGTATGACATTAGTGAGGACAACCTCCTCCTGGATCAAATTGCGGGCAAGCACCCTCTGGAGAGCGGAAAGGGAGGGGGAGGCACAGGTGCCCAAACCCAGGTACAGAGGCGGAAATTTGGCCCAGGTGGTAAGGTTTTGCGCAGGCAGCACTCTTATGACACATTTGTAGAACTACAGAAGGAAGGGGCGGGCAGGATGGGTGGGTTTGGAGGCGGTGGTGGAGCATCAATGCTTCCTCCACCCCGAAGCGTGAGCCTAAAAGACAAAGACCGCTACATGGAGGGCGCGAGCCCCTACGCCCAGATGTTTGAGCAGTATGCGGGAGGGGAGCGGGAGACATCATATTTTGGGGACAGAGGGAAGGGTGGGGGTTCATCATTTAGCTTATTCCGTGGGGGTGAAGGTGGGTTGCACCGTCGCTCCGTGGGTGAGAGAGACATGAGGGACAGGGATAGAGGCATGATGGGAGGAGGTGTGGGCGGTACCCGAGGGGTCGGGACTTACTCCTTGTCTAAATCTCTCTACCCAGATAAGGTGAACCAGAACCCATTCATCCCAACCTTCGGCGACGACCAGTGTCTATTACACGGTGCCAAATCTTACTACATCAAAAAGCAGCAGGCACAGCCGCAGCAGCAACAGACGCCGCAGCAGCAGCAGCAACAGCTCCTCAACAACAGTCGGGCTGACTTCCGGGGCTCCATGGGGGTGACTTCCTATTTGCCAGCCTCTGCAACTTCTGGGGTGCTTTCCAATGTGGCCCCTCGGTTCCCCAAGGAGTTATGTCTAGGTGGGCCTCTTGGCAACCACCACGGAGGAGGACCTAGCAACAACAAGCTGCTGTCAGCAAGGGATGGGTTAGGAATGGGTCAAGGACAGAGACCGTTTAATGGCTCGAGCAATGGACATGTTTACGAAAAGCTTTCCAGTATAGAATCTGATGTCTGAAGAGGATAGGCAGAAACAGACAGAAATTTGGAAAAGAAGCCAACGGACATACAGAACGATGATTGAGAGAAAACTGGAACGGCAGTGTGTAATTAGTATCTTCAGGCTCACAAAAAGAAGAGGAAACCGTGTGTGAGGAACTGACTTATGCTTTCATGAAGTTACACGGATCATGCGCTGCCAAGCACACGTATGTAAATAGAGCGAGGGGACCTGCCCACTGTCGAAAAAGTTGAGATTTGGGGAAAAAGCCTGTTCATTCCTCTCTTTTATTCTTGTTATTTTTTCTCTCTTTTTTGTTCTTTTTTTTGTATATCTCACAATTTCCCTGCTCCTAACATCAAATAGTGGCCAATTCAGATGGAGACAACAGTGTACAATAATTTGTACGATCTCGGATGGAAATCAGTTACTCTTTTTTAAACAACAGGGTAAAACTTACAATAATTGTATTAATAATGTTCTTGATAATAATATTATTATATATTATTACAATGTTTATGATGTTCCATTTGGGCTTGGTTTCTGGATGTTTTATGCTGTTATATATTTGTACTGTAGTTTCAGTTCTTAGTTACAAACCACTAAGCGGGAGGCTTACTTGATTTCTCAGTTGAACATATTTGATTGTTAATCGAGTTGTAGACAAACTTGGATTCCATAAAGGTTCTTAATTATTGGTTATTCAAGTTTATTTTACCAGTATGGAGTGCTGTAACGTGTGTACAAGGCATGATTTGCAAAGTACTTCAACTGTACTTGAGATATCATTGTGAAGGAATTGTATTTATTTTATAGTGTTCCGTTTGTAAGAACAATATTGGTTTAATACACAGCACGTTATGTGCCTTACCAAGACTTACAGAATACCAGATTTACAGGTCATATTGCCATGGTAACTTTATGGTCACTGCACACAGATTTGTCATGGGATGATTCATGCTATTCTGAAATTTTCCTTTTAATGATATAAGCACTGATATGGAATATCCAGCATTGAGGAGACGTAAAGTAGCCTGAATGTGTTCGTAGTGTTAATTTCGAGTTCAAAAGAAAACCAGTTCAATTATTATTCTAATAAATGATGATAATAGAAACAGGATATTTTATATTTGCACAGCATTGTACAATGCACAGTATACTTCCTGAGTGTTGTGCTGTAGAGCGCTACATTTGAATGGCTTTCTACAATACAGAAGCAGAAATCAGTCATTTTTTCCACTGCCCCCCATCTCCAAAGGAAGTCTTTGATCAAGCAGCAAAAATGACAACTGTGTTATGGATTTATTTCCTAGTTAGTATTAGATATGCTTATCTGTACTTTCCTTAGGGAGATGCCAGTGCACAGTATGTAGGGTTTTGCAAAATTCTCAGAAAATGCTTGCATTTTTTTATGTAAATATTCATTTTTTTCCACTCTGTACAGTACATAGACAGAAAGGATGTAATTCTACAGATTTATGTTTTACCATATTGGTTAGATATTTAAAGTATTAAATTAAAGGTCATCAACCCAACTTTGCTGCAAATTTTATTCGTTAAAAATCAACATACATTCACCCTATTGTTATTTAGCCAAATGCAATCCTTTACTGTACCTGCACAACAGAACTGAGATTTTCTAGATACTAAAGTTTATGCCAGTCAAGAATATTTTAATATCAATTAAGACATGATGGCGGTAGGGATGACACCATTTAATTTAATTTGCAGTTTTAATACCCACTTGAAGTAGAGGCATTTCTCAGGAATTTTTTGGATGGGCACAGGCAAAAACAAACATATCATTTAACTAAATTACCTAATTAACTAAATCAATAAACCAATGAACTCATTTAACAGGATAAACGAGAGCCACGTGAGGTTCATTGCAAGTACTTAAGACTCTCGTTTTAGGACTCTTTATTTTTACCTCATGGCAGGGCAGTCTGAAGACATTGTCTTTTTTTTTGGCCCACAGCTTAGATAAAATCCTTTACTTGAAGTTTGTCGTGTTTATTGCAGATTACTTTTCCTTTGTGAATGAACTGTTAAGCGAACAGATCTCCACTTTAAGCACAATATTTATAATATTTGGTTTATAATTGATGTATAGCTATCAATTTGTGGATTTTTAACTTTTTTGCCACATTCTTTTTTGACTCAGTTGTCTTTGTGTGAGGGTTTGTGTTTAAGATAAGCATGCATGTCTTTTACTTATTTATTGCCATATCTTTAGCTTTTCATGTCAAATTTTAGATATCATGCCTGCTTTTTTGTGGGTGAATATGTTTATGAACTGCGCATAATACAGGCGATACGGTACATGTGGTGATTCTAATGAAATATTTTCAAATGGAGTTACAACTCGCTAGGTTTTGTCTGGAGTATTGGCACAGCAGGCATCATTTTTAAAGATCATTCTTGAATCTACAGCTATTTTTTTAGCACAAGATTTTTTTGCTCTCACGATACCTTTCTTTGCATGGTACCATTTTTAAGTACCCTTCAGATTTTTTTATGCTTGGTCTACTTTTCTCATTTTCCTTTTACCTGAACAACGTGGCATTTTTAAGAGTTAGAGATGTGGTGACAGACTTCGACCATTGCATTTCCTGCCAAACTCTGTGTGTTTTGGAGAGTCGAGCCTATAATTTTTAATAGTATTACTGTATGTAACGGAGGTATTGTGTGATTGCGTGTCTGGACAGTTGCCTTTGCTCGTCCTGAAAAGCTTTCCAGTTTTGTATTCCATTTTTTGAAGATGTGGCCTTGTTAAAGTACGCTAATATCATTCGACTAATGACAACAGGTTTAGTGCGAGACGACATTTGCAGCAGAAGACACAAGGGTGGTGGGCCGAAAAACTTGGCGAAAGAGGGATAGTAGCCAATGTTCTGTGTTATTTCATGGTTTTATTTCCCTTCTCATTTCTTTCCCGATTACGGGAAGGATATGAATACACTAGTTTTTGGTTTGTCATTTTAGCACCCTCCCCAGTAAGGTACGTCACATATGATTGTACGTGTATCAGAAATCATATGCTTGATTACCTCTGTGTGCGAGTGGACATGTGTGCGTGCAGGTGTGTGTGTGTGTGTGTGTGTGTGTGTGAAGGAAACAGAGCACAGTGCAATGGTTATCTATTATCTCTGCTGTAAATAATGATGTCCCCTTTCCATAGCCTTTTAATATATGGAGACAAATATTTAAAATATTGAAATTTGAGATACATTTTTTGTCTGGAAGATTTTTTATATAGCCACATGGGGAAAACGTTATTAGACCACTGGACCAGGAGCACAGTGCCATTCTAATAGCATCCGAGAACCAGAATTCAAGACAAAATGTACACCTCTGTTGTCTTTAATTCTGTCCTTCTTGTATTTTAACCACTTATTTTCAATGTTACTTCGAAACCACAATTGTACAGATTCTGTAAATATGACAGAAATTGTTTTTCTTTTTTTTTCTGTTTTTGTATAGAGAGAGATTACGTGTTAAGGCTACAATAATAATTTAATGAGACATTTCACAATACTTAAGCTATTGAGAATACAGACACAGTGTGAAAACAAGTGCTAAGATATATTCTTCTGTCTCTTTGTACAAAACAGTGTTGACTAAAAACAAAATAAAAGGGAGAGATCTCAAGCCCTACAGTCCTCTGTTGTTTTCCATACATTTCCAGAATCTGAATGCTGATACTCCATTTTCTTAGGGTCTACAAGTGCCTTATATGAATCTTATCTGGTTTGTGCTGTGTGTATTTACATGTGTGTGTGTGTGTGTTTGTCACATTTTGTATGTGTGTGTGTGTTTGTCACATTCTTTTTTGATTTCCTATGTGCTTCTTTCAGCATATTACATTGACAGCAAGTGAAGAGCTTCTGATATTCTGGTGTTTGCTTGGATACATCAGGTTCATCGCATCATAACGTGTGAGCAAAATACAGATGTGATTGAATTTACACTTTTAGTATCCAATATGGAGTATTCATAGAAGAACCTGGCAGTGAAGGGTTCATAAAATAACATTTTTTGTATCATTTGAAGAACATTTTAATAATCTGAAGGACTTTTTTACTATAAAGAACATGGGATGGTCCATGAATCTGAGAGGAGATGCTGATACTCCGTTTTATAGTGTCTACGAGTAACAAATATGAATCTCATTTGGTTTGTGTTGTGTTTATATGTATGTATTTTGGTTTCCTATGTGCTTCTTTTAGCATTTTACATTGACAGCTAGTGAAGTAGAGCTTCTGGTATTCTGGTGTTCACTTCAATATTCCTTTTTCTTAGTGTCTACAACTGCCAAATATAAATCTCATTTGGTTTGCATTGTGTGTGTGTGTATATGTTGAAGTCATAATTATTAGTCCCCCTGAATTATTAGACCACTTGTTTATTTTTCCCCCAATTTCTCTTTAACGGAGAGGGGCTAATAATTTTGTCCCTAAAATGGTGTTTAAAAAAATAAAAACTGCTTTTATTCTAGCCAAAATAAGACAAATAAGACTTTATCCAGAAGAAAAAATATTATCAGACATACTGTGAAAATTTCCCATCAGTTGGAAAACATTTTTAAAAAAGAAGAAAAAATTCGAAGGGGGCTAATAATTCTGACTTTAACTGTGTGTGTGTGTGTGTGTGTGTGTGTGTGTGTGTGTGTGTGTGTGTGTGTGTGTGTGTGTTTTCTCCTTTTTTAGTTTCCTATGTTCTTCTTTCAGCATATTGCATTGACTGCCTACATAAGTGATACATAAGCTTCTGATACTCTGTTGTTTGCTTGGCTGTATCAGGTTCATTGCACTATAAAGTGTGAGCAAAATACTGAAGTCATTGAATTTACACTCTTAAAAATGAAGCTTCCAAAATAGTGTTTTCATAGAAGAACCTGACAGTAATTGTTTCATAAAGCCACAACTTTTTATAGATTGAAGAACATTTTAAAAATCTGAAGAATCCTTTTTCTCTATAAACTACATGGGATGGTCCATGAAGGTTTGCGTTGTGTGTAGTGTATACATATTAGGACTGCACGATTCGGACTAAAATTAGAATCACGTTTTTTTTTTTTTTTTTTTTTTTTTTTTGCTTAAAATCAAGATCATGTTTTTCTAATGATTCTGTAGATGTAAAATAAAGGGTAATATGAGTAGGCTATTATTGTTGTTATTTTCAAACATATGGTAAAACAACATTATTAGGCCTACTGCTGGTTAAAAAGCTCAGTTTTGTATAGACTTGGAATGGTGGACTTGAACAGACTTTAAATATGTCCTGGTTGTTAATTCACACTAAAGTGATCAGAATACAACTATTCATAATTCTAAAGTTGAATTATTATGTTTGAGACATATGCTTGCCATTTGTCATTGACAATATTATTAGACCATTCACTGATAAATGATCAGATTCCCTTTTGCATTATATTCAACATTATAGGCAAGAGTATATATACTGTACTAACACTGTTGAACATTTATTCTCATTCACAACACTTTGTGTTCACTATGAAAGAAAAACATATCAAATACTTATCGTAATAATCATAACTCTAAAATTCAATATGGTCATTTAAATGATGTGCGCGCTTTTGGTTTCACTTTTAACTGCGGAGTGCAGAACAATAACTACATTATTTACAAATTTATTAGCTGTCATCCACAGCCTACACAGGTTCTGCTCACTATAACATGATTGGCGGGCACGTGTGCATCCTCTAGGTAGTAAACAAACAGTGCATCAGCTCATGTGTGATTTCGTGTAAGACAGAAATTGCATATTTGGGTGAATTATAGCTTATAAATACAGCATGTGACACTTTTAACACCATTTGGAGGTGTCCACGTTGCTGAGCAATGTATATACAACAATGTGAAGACTTGTGCGTCCGCCTTTACTCTTCTCTCCTGATCTTGAAAATATAATTGGCTGAATTATATAAGCTGAATTAAGATCCTGTGTAGAGTCGAATCAAGATCATGATCTTTTTCGATAAATCGTGCAGCCCTAATATATATGTCTGTGTGTGTCACATTTTTTTCTTTTTTTTTTTTTTTTTAGTTTCCTGTGTGCTTCTTTCAGCAAATTACATTGACAGCGAGTGAAAAGCTTCTGATACTCCGGTGTTTGCTTATGCATCAGGTTCATCGCATCATAACGTGTGAGCAAAGTACTGATGTCACTGTAGTTACACTTTTAAAAATGAAGTGTCCAAAATGACCTTTTCATAGAAAAACCTGGCAGTGAACGGTTCATAAAAAAACTCATTTCCATAGTTTAAAGAACATTTTAATAATTTTAAAATTTTAAGAATTATAAAGATCCTGGGATGTTTCACACATGTAAATGTTCTTTGTGGAACCAGTTATGCCCAACAAAGAACCTTTATTTTTAAGAGTGGATTTTTAAAATTATTTTTAAGAGTGTACACTTCATTCTGTACTATTTGATTAGTTTCTAACCTATTTTGATTATCGATTCATGTGAGAAATGGTGAATATGTTTTAAATGGTGAAAATGTTGTACATGCTGTTTATTTTTAAACTAATAGCTGTTTATTTTAAAACCATTTGCAATTCAATATTTCACAAACCTACTCTTTCTATTCCTGTCTCACTCCCCCACTCTCTTTTTCATTCTCTCTCTCTCTTTTTCTCTCTCTCTCGCTTCCTTCAAGCAGCCAATCACAGAATACATTGCAACACATGTAACTATTTCTTGACAATTAACTGTTACCTAGCAACTGGACCTTTAGAGAAAGAAAGAGAGATGGAGGCAGGGAAAGAGAGAGAGAGAGAGAAGGGGAGAGAATAAAAAAAGATGTGTGTAGTTTACTGTGTCTCGGTTTGGGTTCTACGACACATAACATAAAAACAGCAAGTACAGATGATATGCAACACCCACACGTGTCCAAGGCGACAGAGAGAGAGAGATGAGGAGAGCTAAACGCACGCGCGGAAGCTGTAAGAACGACTGACAGATACACAGATAGAGGCAGTCGTGAATGGAAAGATTCAGAAAGTAATTAATAAGGCACGACAAGTCGAACCCCTCACGTTCATTTAAATGAGGAGAGATAATAGAAGTATGTTTCTGCCATAAAGATAAAAATAATTAGCTAAAAAGAGGTAACTGCGTTTCACACAATTCTGACGTTTATATCTAACGTTAACAATTCTGCCTTCCCCATAATTCAGAAGCATTAAGTTAGAAACCCAAGATATAAACTTAAAGGGCTAGTTCACCCTTGCTGTGTCATAGCTACCGGTTTTACAGTTTAAGCGATGACCGTGTTAATTGGTGACCCTGTTGTTTTTGACTTTACAAGTGTGAATCCTGTTGATGACCTGTAAATTATAATTATTATTATTTTATTTATTTTTTTACAAATTTTAGTTTATATACTGTTCTGCCACACTAATATTAAAATCAATAATGCTTACAATGACACCCAGTTATAAGAATGTTGATTTGGTACGGGCATGTTTTGTTGCTGAGAAATAGTGACGAAATTGCCAATCAGCAAACGTGAATAGTTTCCAACCTTCTTCAGAATCTTTTTTAACAAAAGAAAGAAAAACATGTTTGGAGCCCCTTTAGGGTGACAAAATAGTGAGTAAACTCTTTTTGAGTCAACCATTTCTATAAAAATCAGAGAAAATAAATTGTGAGGTATTAACTCACTGGGAAAAATCAGAACTTCGAGATAGTGGGATTCGCGGAGAGAAAAAAACTATTTTGCAATTATATTTTAGAGATCTCGATTCATCTCAACTGATTATTGTAATTATTTTCATTGTAATTTTGCCATTTTTCTGACATTGTCTTTATCTCTTGCAATTCTAACTGAAATGGTGAGATTTTAAACTCACAATGGCAAAAGTAGCCTAATATTGTAAAATAAAAGACTTATCGCTAAAGAAATTACCTATACTTAATAATAGTATTAATAATTATTAATATAACAATTATTAATATGTAAACATGTTTCTGTAGTAACACTTTAGTTCTTAAAGTTGCTAAAAGTTTCTCAGAATCGAATAATAAATGAACCTGTAGGCCTAGGTATGTGGTCATACACATCCATTTTAGTCTCCCACCCTCACCAAAACAAAATACTCAACAAAAATCCACTTCAGTTAGTAATTACAGGGTTTCTGCAAGTTTCACCAAGTTATATTTAAGACTTTTAAAGACATTTTTAAGACCAATGTGAATGACATTTAAGGATAGTTTTGGAATATCCCAGTTACAAAAGGTTTTTACTCACCCTATCAAATAATGATCAAAAATTAATACATTTAATAATACAATAATAATAATAATAATTTTGTTTTAAAATTTCTTATAACTTTTCAAATATATCTATTCACAAACCAATAACCCTTACCAAGAATAGAACAAAACATAGTCAACTACTTCAGTCTACAATAATAATAATTTAATAATAACAAATTTAGGTGAGGTCAGTATCCTCAGCAGTAAATACATGAAGAGATTTTAAGCAAATATTACTGTAAGCAAAGTAATTAAATGCAATATTTTTTTAATAAAAAGTTCAATTTTTTATTGATAATAGTTGTTGATGACTGTATAGGTGTTAATGGCCATTGGGTGAACAAACATGAACAAATGAAAATTAAGACCTGTTAAAAAAGATTTAAGACCTACACTACAACATTTTAGTATATTTAAGACTTTTCAATGCCTAAAATTTAGCTTTTGATATTTAAGAAGATTTAAGACCCCTGCGGACACCCTGTATTACAACGCTAAGCGGTCCTATGGCAACCAAAAATCACTGGCACGCGGACGTCAGAAGCTTCCAAAGCGGCGCGTAATGAATGTCTTCAAAACACTTTAAAAATTACATTGTTAATAACTGATGTATACGTTAATAGTTATCAATGTAACAATTATCAATATGCAAACATGTTTTCGTAGTGACACTTCAGTAGAGGTGCTAAAAGTTTTGCGTAACCGAATAAAAAATAAACCTGTAGGCCTATGTATGTGGTCATACGCATCCATTATAGTCTTCCACCCTCACCAACACAAAATACTCACCAAATATCCACTTCAGTTTGTTATTACAACGCTAAGCGGTCCTGTGGCAACCAAAAATCACTGGCACACAGACGTCAGACGCTTTCCAAAGTGGCGCGCATTGAATTTCGTCACAACACTGCCACCCTGTGGCCGGAATCACAAAACGCCAGCTCCATCCTCACATCTGGAGGCTAGTGGCGCTTTGCTTTATATCCTCTCAGCTCTAAAATGCAGCATTGTAATTCTCTCTGTTACATAAGATAACGAAACAAGTCCAAAATGTATTCTAATACTGCGTTAAAGACAGTTGAGACATCATAAACTATTGTAGGCTCTTCAGTGCAGATGTTCAGAGTTCAGAATTGAATTGATTCGATATTTGATGATTTGATCTGCTGCACATGCCTACTGCTCTTATTTTTATTACTCAGTTTAAAAAACAAAAACAAATGTGAATTACATTCAATGTGTATGTAATATTTGCTGAATTTAGAGCATGGTTTGTAATGATGCTTTCATAAATGCAAAGAGATTTTTTAACAAAATAGGCTATTTAGAAGCCTGTGAGAAATAATGCTGACTGGCTTACATAATTTATGACTAGCATGTGAATGGGAATGTTTGACACATGCAGTGTATATGACAGCACTTTAATAATTCAATAGCCTTACATCTAAGCTTAACAGGTACAAGCACTGTGCCTCAAAAATCTCAGACTTTATGAATATTTAAGTGTCTAACAACCCATTTGATTTACCCCATATGAAAATTTACTATGGTTTTTTTATAGTAAAAGCATAATAATGCTTTTTGATTACCATTTGTACAAACATTTGCCATTTTATGACAAATATATCATGGTTAATCAATGGTTAGTAAAATAGTCAATTTGTGATTGTTTATTGTTGTTGTTTTGGTTTTATCTGTAAAACCGTGGTTTATTTTAGTAAGGGTACATAAAAAATAAAACACAATTGACATAAATATACTTAAAGAGTTTTATTCCTGGTTCTGGATACACATAGGCTACTGTATTTCATTAAAGAATCCCCACAGAAATTAAATTAAACATAACCAACATTATTTTATTCTGCCGGGGAACTTTAATCGCACTTGTGAGGCCCGAGCATGAGGACCAAAAGTAGATAGCCTATACGAACACGTCTAATATAAAGATTAAATTTCCAATCCAAATATAATCCTGTATGAATAATAACAACATTACTATCTGAGGATAATATTTGCAAATCTTCCATCTCTCCATCTACCTCTCACTCGATTTGACCGTTCTGCTTTCGTTTTGGATCACTTTCACCCGTCTGCTTCTCAGCGCCCGGGTCACAGGACGGACCACTCGCACCGTGTACCGCCGCGGAAACTTCGCTTGACTCGGCCCGGCCCTCGCGCTCTCCGGGCCCCTGCCGTCTTCTCCATCCTCCCCCTCCTCCCTGTACCCGTGCTGGCGGAGGAAGGGCTCCAGGGTTGAGAGGCGATTATTAAGGTCTGTGATGCGCTTCTGTAAATGTGAAACCTCCCTGAAGAGATCATTCAGAGACTCCGAGAGAGGACGAACCCTGAGAGGAATAAAACAGTGAGTCTGTATGTGCGAAAACTTCGAGAGAAAGTGCAGGCTATATTGACGTTTATTTGTGCACTTCTGCAGGGGTCTGGCATATAAAAATAAGTATGTAAATATTCAGTAGTTCAAAATTCATTTTGAAGTGTAGCCTAAATTCATATTCGTCTTATATGTGTGATATTAAAGGTACTTTAGCCACTAGCCACTAAATAAAGCCTACAGTAGTGCTGGTTTATTCATTTTCTTTTCGGCTCAGTCCCTTTATTAATCAGGGGTCGAAATAGCGGAATGACCCGCAATTTATCCAGCACGTTTTACGCAGAAAATGCCCTTCTAGATGAAACCACTGGGAAATCACTGGGAAACACCTATACACTTTCATTCACACACATACACTATGGACAATTTAGCGTTCCCAATTCACCTGTACCACATGTCTTTGAACTTGTGGGGAAAACCAGAGCACCAGGAGGAAACCCACATGAACACAGGGAGAACATGCAAACTCCACACTGAAATGCCAACTGACTCAGCCAAGGCTCGAACGAGCGACCTTCCTGCTGTGAGACGACAGCGCTACCCACTGCAACACCACGCAGACAAAGCTGGTTTATGATTACAATAATAGAGGGATACGACAGAAATACATTTGTTTCCCATAATAAAATATAAAGTTTCCCAAAATATAAAAATTTCCTCAAACAATCACTCTTTAAGTTTAGCTTACAAATGGCAGCACGGATCGTGTTAATAATTGGTGTTGGGTAATGTTACTTTTACAGACGATATATTACAATCTTAAGCTTATTTTAGTTCATCTAAAAAATCACGCAAAAATATCAATGCATACTTTCAACAATACATAAAATAACAAAGTAACACATTGAATAACTTTAAAATAAAAGTGACTCAAGCTTGTAATATAGTACCAATATTGTTAAAAGTAAAGTGGATCATGACACCTTTTGCATTTACCCAACTAGACATCCAAACCAGTCTTGAGTACGTCCCAGTCAGTGTATAGGCTACTTATAACTAGTCTACACTATTCAAAGTGTACGTGCCAAGTAATGTTTTTATGCTTACAATCTTCAGAAAAGATAAAGTGCACTTTAGATAGCCTGAAGATGTTTTTCATGGAATAAAACAATATACAGATCTCAGCAAATATAAGTACACCCCCACAAATCTGTCTTTTCAATTAATATTTTGATAGGAAGATTTACAATATTATATTTGTGCATATACTGTACATTAGATTAGTTAGTACTGAAGCCAAATCTGAAGCTTATCTAACAAAATAACTTACGATAACAGTCCAGAAACTAGTACACCCAGATTTATATGTTATGGACAAACAAATACAAACAAAAAAAAGAGGAAAAATCATCAGAAGCAGAAAAAAATTTAAGATTAAGTTGAAGTTTTGTAGTTTGTAATTTTTTTTTGCAATGTTTCACTTGAATTTTATTGTATTTCATTTTCTTTATGTTTGGTGACTAAAATATTATTTTAATAAATGTATCTGTTTAATAAATCTGTGTTGTTTAAATGTACCAAAATATATTGCCTATATTTACCAAGACTAAAACTATTCATTTTCAAAATGGGGTGCACTCAGTTATGCTAAACACTGAATACCGTTGAACACTTCATGCACACTCAGCAGTTGCCAGTTTTTAGTTATAGCCCAGCAGGCACATGACGTCAGATTGACGTTATACCCCAACATCGTGGAATGTTGCATTTTGTTTGGAAATGAAAATCGGGTTGACGTCAGAACTCAACATCAGGTCCACGTTAATGTTCAATGTCCAAAAACAACAAAATATCTAAAAAACCTAAAAACAACTAAATTTTAATGTTTAACTAGGTTACAGCTTGATGTTGTGTAGACACTACCATGACCGTTGGGTTTTGGTTGGCATACCTGACGAATAAATGTCAGTATTTGACGTCAATATGACGTTGGTTTAACATGTCGGCTTGTCGATTGATTTTGGACACTTTTCAACACAACCTAAAATGAACCAAATATCAATTTCAAGTCATTATTGGACGTCTAAGTAACATTGTCCATAGACATTATCGACTTAAATTTAACCTAATGTTAGAGTCTCATGACGTTGTGTCTTTGCTGGGAGGTAGAGGAAGAGGAATAACAAAATATTTAACCTTATAAAATTCATACAGAGACATTTCAGTGTCTTGTGTAAAAGTGCATTGTGTACATAGGGAGTGATGACGACTATCATATATATATATATATATATATATATATTGGATTGGACTAATTATTTTAGAGTTAACTAGTTGCAAGCAATTGATAGGGGCTGAATTTAAACCAAAAAATTACATTTAGCTACGTTCAACTTTGTTTGTTTGTCTAAATTCAGCCCAAATAAATAGTTTGCAACCACTTGTACCTTAAAAAAAACTGTAAATCCAATGAACAATTTTTTCAGTGTAATAAGTTATGGATAGAATATGTTGTTGTTTTTAGTGTGCTAGAAAGGGGAACATGCTTTTCAGGTATAGGACATTTTCCAATAATGATCTTCTATTTTTGTTATTGTGAAAAATGACGCCGCTGTAGGTCATTCCTATTGAATGAGAATTGCCATAGTAACTTGCGTCATTGTTCAGGGAGAAAACAGACTAAGGGAAGCAGGCTGAGTAGTGATTTTAGACACCAGATAGCAAATCTATAAATAGACTCACTGATTAAACCTAGTCTTTATCACTCAAAAAAGAAGCACATTGTGTGTTTGCTATTGGTTTAATTATCAGAATTAACTTTGGGAGTGTGACTCTCTCTCTCACAGTTGATTAATTCTGCACAGCCAAAGAAATAGATAAAAAAATATATAGCTCAAAACAAAAGGTAAGCAGGTGTCTGTATTCATTTCTGTATCAGTAATAAAGTGCAGCTCTTAAAAGGTGCATAACCCAAAATGCATGATTTAGCTTGTCATTATTTATAGTTAAGTGTCTGTCAATTGTGATTTAGAGATGTGAATAAGGAGATTTCACATTCACTTTAGCGTACTAGAATGTGGGGTCAGTAAGTCAAAGAACATACATTAACAGGACGTAGTTTAATATGACAAGGCTGAGCTTCTGGTGCTCCTGGCCAAGACCTGCCTCTCAAAATCTCTAAAGGTCACGACGCTATTGCCTCCAGGTGTGTTAAAAAGCTCTGTGTCATAGAATGACGAGTCCTTTCTACACCACATTATGACAAATGTCCAGTCCTGCCGCTTCCAGAACATTAACAAAAAGAAAAAAGGTCTTTTCTTCACAATTTACTCTACTTTAGAGTTCATTTGCTCTGTAACATTTGTGAAACTACTCCAAATCAGTGTTCTGCCATAAATTTTTCTAAAACGCATTCAAAGTCCTGCCATAAACACATTAATAGTTACTTTATACTTGTTTTACTTGTGTCAATATACGTTAATGATTTATGGAAATGAGCTAAATAGAAACATGAACTGGCGTAACATCATTTGGAGCTAAATGCCAAAACCAATTTCATAAGGAAAAGAAAACATAAGGAAAATAAAAAACTTTCCATATTTCACTTTCACATCACAGCTCAGTGGTTAGCACCGTCGCCTCACAGCAAGAAAGGTTCAAGTCCCGGCTGAGCCATTTCTATATAGAGTTTGCTTGTCCTTCGTGTTCGCGTGGGTTTCCAACAGGTGCTCTGGATTCCCCCACAGTCCAAAGACATGTGGTACAGGTGAAGTGAATAAACTAAATTGGCTTTAGTGTATGAGTGTGAATGTGAGTGTGCATGGGTGTTTCCCAGTACTGGGTTGCAGCAGGAAGGGCATCTGCTGCATAAAACATTTACCAAAATAATTCATCGCGCTGTGGCAACTCCTGATAAATGAGGGACTAAGCTGAAGGAAAATGCATGAATGAACTTTCAAATTGAAATTACCATTGGTCCATGAAGATTATTCAATAGATGGGTGTGGTTTTGAAGCTCCGCCTTTTTGTATGCATGTAAATGTCCTCCAGTTCATTTCTTTAGTTCACTTCATGGAGGTTAGATGTTTGCAAGTAAAAAAAATCAACACTGAAAACAGTCTTTATGATAACGTTGAACTGATAAATTGAAAGCAAAACTGACACTGTTTTTCCAACACAATCTCATGGAAAATCCGTAACATTTTGATTTAGTTTGATTTTGAATTCGTACAATCTCAACCATACAATTTAGTATGATTTGCTCATCCCTAATGAAAGATGGGTTTAGGGGTGGTTGTACGAACTCGTACAAATTAGCCCCTAAACTGACAAAACGTAAAATAGTTACATTTCCTCATGAGATCAGGCTGGTTTTGCATGAGTAATTCTCTAATGTTGCACATCCTAAAGCAATCTGCTGTACACATTGTTATAAAAAGACCATATGGAAACAAACTAATTTATTAATAATGCATTTATTCTGTTGAGGTCGTGTCTAGTTGGTAGCCGAAAACTTTGTAAACTACAGAGCAATTAATCTTATATCTACTAAATCTGACTGACTTCTGCTGTAATTTTCTAACACTACCTCATAGAGAACCTTAATGTCTGCATGAAATCAAAAATGACAATGTTTATTTTGCAAGCTCACGCTTTTATGCATAAGATAAATAATTAATCCGTGCAAGTTAATCCACTGAAAACAAATTGCTTATTTTGGTAATCGCATATCAAAGTCTGACTATTTGCAATTGCCTTTCACCTGAGGGCTTTCATAACAATTGTATATTAATATTGTTAGCCGTCTTACCATTAGTTTGCTATGAGGGAATTGCCCCTTTCATGCAGTGATACAGGTAAATATTTCCAGATCAAATTCGGAAATTCAAAATAGTGCTATTCACACAGACGAGGACGTTTTGAAATTCTTCCAGAAAAGGCCTCTAAACGTGTATTTGTAAATATAACAGGGCTCAGGCTTTTATTGATGGCTTCACTTTTATTTAAAGCTTTAGCATTCATGCAGCTGCTTTTGTCCCATGCAGAGACATCCAAAGGCAGAAGCACGAACCGCAGCTAAATGTTTACACATTTGACTACATCACAAATTCTGTGGATAGATAAGCATTATGAACAACTTCAATGTAAACATAAGGGGGAACACTTTCGCAGGTCGAGATGGACATTTGTGTGGTAGCACTAACCACTAGCAACTTAATGTGCCTATAAAAGTATTCAAAGACTTTTATTTTCATAAACAGCGCTGAGGTAAATGCTTCTGAATGCTCTTATTGGCTGCAGTAGATGTCTTTTGTCAGCATGTTCTAATCGTAAATGTGCTCTTTCTGGCAATTTTCCTTTTGCGTTCACACAGAGCAAATTACAGGTAATATTACAACTTCTCTTTTTGGAAAATTGCCAGAACGAATTTACTGTTATTTTCAAAAAAAGTCTGTTCACACATGATCCCCTTCCAGAAAATAGACTAAACTAGGATATAGTATAAACTAGGATAAACTAGGCATGGGACAACAACCATTTTCAAGGTATAACAGGGTTTGGAAAAGTCAAGGTTTTGAAACCGCCAAAATTTTGTACTATACAATTCCTAAGGTATGTGTAAGATTTTTTTGTTTTTTAGGACAACAGTATCTCCAGCAGTAAAGATAACCAAAGATTCTGTTTTAAATTATAAATAAATCTATGTTTTTAAAACAAATGAAGACAGCAGTCAATGATTTTTTGCAATTATTTAGCCTAACATGATTACTGTTCCAAAATATTAAAAGTTCAGCATCAATAATAAATTCAGCATTATTTCTAAAAATAAAATATTGTGTTAAAAAAAAGTATTAGTTTTTACCCAGACATTTAAATGAATATATTTTAGAGCAGTAATCACAATACCGTGAAACTGATATTTTTTTCCAAGGTTATCATGCCATCAGAATCTTATACCGGCCCATGCCTAATATCAACATACTGGAATAAAAGTCTTAGCAACTTCCAGTTGACACAGTCTTTAATACTAGCATGTTGAAAATTTGTCATCTGGATTTCAAGGAGACTTTAAATGTCGTTTTCCCACCACTATAATATTAGTTAGATTTTTTAAATAAAAGGGAAAATAAAATCCCAAATAAAGACTAAAACTACTTTTTGTTTGCTGAAAGCTTTTATATATCACATTAATTCTCTCTCTCAAATGACTTTTCAATGTACCATTGTGAAACACTGGACAGCTGACAGAAAAGATCGGCTTTAACAGTTTCGCTCTGAATTAACATCGAGGCCTGGCTTCATTATTCCCTTTTCCTTCCAGTAATTCGGATAGCATGTGTTTGCCCGAGGATCCCCTTTCTGGCATTTTAAGTGCTGTTTCAATGCTTGTAGCTTAGATTCAGCTTCACGAAAACAGTCTCCTTAGGGCTCAGAGAGTAAGTCTGTTAAACTGCCGACTTCAGGATAACAAACCCCCAAAGGACAGTGCCTTTTTCTAGTTTATATAAAACAGCCCAACAAGCAGCTTTCATGTGCAAAAAAGAACTTTGGTAAGTGAAGGTTTGCAAGACAAGAAAGCTTTAGTGAACATAGCAAGAGATACAGCAGGGAAAGCAGATTATTAAAATATTGCTGGTTGGTTTATACTAATTGCTTTACTTGCGTCAATACGCTTGAAAGAAGTTGTAGCAGTGCATTTGGCATTAGGAAATGCAGGTCATTACCTGGAATAGTCTGGCAGAAGGGCATTGGGCTGTGAGTGTAAAAGGGTCTTGATATCTTTGAATATGCGTTTGCCCCAGGCGTCCAACACTCGAGTCACGCTGCGTATGTTGGCCACGTTCACATTCTCCGCTGGCGTGAGGGCAAAGACAATGAGGTTAGTCTCTAATAAGGCAGGCTGCCTCATGACAAGAGGCTGTCTGATAGTTCACAACCGTTTTAATCAGGTTTCTCTCACTGGAGTACAGGCTTTAGCTTTAAAGTGTGCGCATTAGAAGATGTCTCTTTGTATTAAGCCAGATCTATTATGTCAGCGTTGTGCTTTAAATTTAATATTAGCTTCGCAAAAACCAACCCAGGCTCATTCTGATCATGTACCCCTACGTATGTACATTTCTGAAGAGAGAAAAATATGTCCCAGGAGCTACTTTTTTTTTTTTTTTTTTTTTTTGCAGTTTTTGTTTTCACAAGTCTGCTAGAGGTTGCTGTGTGCACTTTTTCAGATCTCAAAGGCCATTCGTATCTGCTCTTCTCGCGTAATTCACCAGAGGGCCCTGCTGACTGACTGACTGTCTGACAGATCGACTGATCCACCTTCTTCCTTTCCTGAACCCAAACGATTGTGTTTCAAAAAGCACAAATTGACCACTGTCAACTCTGCTCCGTCTCAAATCCTCCAACGTATTTGGTGAGCTACTGGACAAACTAGTAACAGCGGAAAAGCTGTCCATATGGAGGTAAACGGTCAGCCGGTAAGTGCGAAAAGTAACAATGTCATATGGCCCCGTATCGTTTGTTTTCAAGTTGAAATGCAGCCATACGTTTCTCTGGCTACATTATTTGCGATCTCCAGAAATGTATATAGAGCTACATTTTTAGAATGAGCCTATGTTGGTGAAAACTGTATATCCGAACAAATCTGTTGCCGTAGAGCCAATCCAGACTGACACAGTTTTTTTTACATACAGTTACAGTCAGAATTATTAGCCCTCCTTTGAATTTTTGATTTTTTAAATATTTCCCAAATGATGTTTAACAGAGCAGGGAAATTTTCACAGTGTGTCTGATAATAATTTTTCTTCTAGAGAAAGTCTTACTTGTTTTATTTCGGCTAGAACTATTAGCCCGTTTAAGCTAATTTTTTTCCCGATTGTCTACAGAACAAACCATTGTTATACAATAACTTGCCTAATTACCCTAACCTGCCTAGTAAACCTAATTAACCTAGTTAAGCCTTTAAATATCACTTTAAGCTGTATAGAAGTTACTTGAAAAATTTCTAGTCAAATATTATTTACTGTCATCATGTCAAAGATAAAATAAATCAGTTATTAGAGATGAATTAATAAAACTATTATGTTTAGAAATGTGTTGAAAAAATCTCTCCGTCAAACAGAAATTGGGGAAAAAATAATCAGGGTGGCTAATAATTCAGTGGGGCTTATAATTCTGACTTGATTCTGAGTAATTTAAAGTTGTGTTGTATGTATACTACATTTTTTTTTGCACAATTTCTGATAAAATTCAATGCAATCTCACGGCAACTTGTAAATTTTTATTTAGTTGCTAATTTGTATCAATTTGTATGATTTTATTTGTAAATTTCAGTATGATTTTGCTTATCTCCCGATGAAGAATAAGGCTGGTGTATACTTCCCCGTCAAGCAGTTGCCGTGACCCATGGCACCTGCCTTGCGCATAGTTGTGCATTTATACTTGTGTGTGCTGTTTGTGTTGCTCAGCAATAACATTTCCGAAATGCTAGCAGGCAGTAGGTTATGGGTTTGGGGGTATGCCTTATTTTAAAAATGTAACATTTTCATACAAATTAAATTGTATATGTTTGTACAAATTAGCAACTTTTCAATATGTAAATTTTTTAAATTTTCCCATGAGATTGGACTGGAAAAATAGAGCTAATCTATTAGTCTCAGCTTGGTTGAACACTTTATATTGATAAATATGTAAAATTTCTTTAGCTATTTTTTTATTAATCTCATTCGTACATTTTAGTATATTTATCCCCCAATGAGAGGTACTTTTAGGAGTGAGGTTTGAGGGTTTTTTTTATTTTACAGTTTCATTAGAATGAAATTGTTTGAATTTGTACAAATTAGCAAGGGCGTAGAATTAGCATGGATGGAGGAGATGTGTCCACACCAATATCCACCAACTACTGAAATGTACCTTCCAATAATTTAATCGACTTCAAAAATAAAATAATGCTTTGTCAACCCTTACTAACCTACATGTGCACAAAAGTCAAGTTCGATACGAGTTCACTGTAATATTATTAACCAAGGCAGTGCAGTTAATTCAGTAAATTTCATTCAATCAAAATTCAGTTTTAATTTTGGCATGCTTATAAAAAACAATAATCGGGATAAAACAGTTAAACTGCATGACACAACTCTCTAAATTTCTCTACATTTATACCTCCTCAAAGCCCAATTGCAATAAAATCATGTGTATGGACTTTTGCAGCATGGGACGGGTTGTTATTTGTATTATTAAGTGTTTATTTTATGTTATTAAGTACTTTATTTATGTTTTTAAAAGCGCAAAAAGAATTTTCGCTATGTATGCGCTTTAGATATGTCCCCACCAATGTCAACAGCAAATCTAAACTCTTGCAAATTAGCAACTTTTTTTGATAGTAGATAATATTAGTTATTTGCTTGTGAGACTGCACTGTAAACACAATACATTAATATTGTCCCAACACAAATCAATTAAGTTAACTTAACAAATGTTAGTGGATTGAACATAAAACAATTAAGTTGTACCAAAAAAGTCTTAGAAGTTGTGTTGTTTTACCTAATTTTAAATACATAGTTTGAACAAGGAGCAAATTTCTTTTAGAGTATAAGAGATATTAAAAATCACAGGCTTGCAATGCACAGTGACCAGACACATGATCAATTTGTGATCAAAATGCACCAAAACAAAATATTAACATACACTCTAAAAAGCACATGGTTAAAAACTACCCAAATTGGGTTGTTTTTAACCCTACTCCTGGGTAAATATGGGACAGAACACATCAGGGGTTAAATTAACCCAAGTAATTGGGTTATTATTTTTAACCCCACAATTGTGTTGTTTTTTCTATCCAATAATTTGTTATTTTTACTTAAATAATAGGTTAATTTGATTTAATAAATAGGTTATTTTTTATGTATTATTTTGGTTTAAATCATTAACCACATTAAAACAAACAGGTCAAGATTGTATTAGCTTTAAGAATCGGGAAACGCATCTGAAATGCCATGGAAAGCTGGAAAAATTAGGCTAATCTAGTAGTCTAAGCTTGGTTAAACACTTAATAGTTATTCATATGTCAAGTGTATTTAGCTATTCATTGGTTTTTACCTCCCTCTCTGTAGTTCCAGTTCCCATAATCCACTTCGTTGCTCATGCCAAGACATGGAGACAAAAACGCCACAACCACCAAAGGCACCATCAGATTTTTCGTTGTTGTGGAAACAGCCATGGTGAGGAAGGGTCTGAAAGGTAGAGTTTGAATATCACAAAGGAAAAACAAGTAGTAACAACACTCTCGGTGTACAGCAAGAGATTCAGACCCTGCCAATGCATCTGGCACACGGGAGAGCAGTTTGTTATTTTTCCAGGACAAACAGCCAGAAGTGTTTTAGGGGACGATGATCTATTTAAAATTTCAGTGCAAGGGCCCAGATTTTTATATAATCATATCTTTTATGTTTCATCTACATTCAAGTCTGTATTGTTTGTACATTGCTCTTTAGGCCACCTTCCAGGGCTGTTTTTGTTGTTGTCTCATTTTTATTTTTAGGAGTTACTATCAGAGGCACTGATAGTGTGTCTGTGCGTGGGCTTGTTTTTGTGATATACAGTACGCAAATTTGTATTCTGACATAGGTATGACAAGGAAAAAGTGAGTTATGGGGACATTGCTCCATGTCCCCATTTTTAAAATGACATAAATCATACAGAATGAGTTTTATGAACGAGTAAAAATGCTGTTTGTACAGTATAAAAACACTGCAAACTTATGGAATATCCACACAATTCAGAAAAACAAGTGGGTGTGTGTGAAAACCACCTAAGAGAAATACACTTGACTTAATATTGCAATAAATAAGGTACAGTTAATTACAGTAAACAAAATATTGTTTATATTTAACTGGTTTTATTGACCTATATTGGTATATCTATAACAAAAAAAGGGATGCACCGATATGGATTTTTGGGCCAATGACAATAACTGATTATATATTTAAAATCTGATAATCGATATATTAGTCAGTAAATATAAATATTTTAAAAGGTTATATTTTTAGACAGTGAACAAATTATTTTATTTTAAAAACTTCATAAAAGTTTGAACAGACTTGGGACTAGCATACTACATGAAAGCAATAATTTAAAAATTGCAAGGTGATTATAGACCTATATTCACAATTTTACATGAATCAGCCTGCCAAAAATAGATTATTTCCATGTCTTTGCATAGCAAATTAACATGCAACTTGACTGTTGCATGAACATAATAGGTTAAATAAAACAAAACCAGAGGCAGAAAATTCGATACAATGACATAATTCTATAGTCTTAAAGATATCGGCTGATAATGATATGGCCGCCGATATATCGTGCATCCCTACAAAAAAATTATACCAAGAAGCTAGGGCTGTACAGTAAATCAAAATTAAATCAAGATCATGATCGAGCTAGGCTGCGATTGTCATGCGCATCTTGTCAAGTGAAGCACGGCCCTGTAATCAATAGTAAATCTACGCCAAACAGAGTCAATTACTACAAAAAATACTGAATCAAACAGGTTACTAATATAAATCAACATGACTTATAATCACACAACAACAGAAACATCTCACAGAAGGATTTCAGACACTTTGCTAAAGCTATGAAATGAGTTTGTCTAAACAAAATTATTATATCATATTTCTGTGTACTTTAGATGTAGCAGCAACACAGAGATGTAGATCATTGAGAATGGATGCAAACAGCAGTCCAATCGCAAAATCATTATCTTAGATCTCTTAGAATTGCAGCAATTAAATCGTCTGCAATCTTGAGCTTTTTTGGTAAAGTATGGCTCTGTGTAGTAAAAGCTGCTTTATCTGAAAGCAGTTCTGGAGATTTACAGCTGATCACAGAATACTTTACTGACAAAATGCACATGAAAATCACCTTTGATTATTCGTGCAGCCAAAGTAACATAACTTTGTTAATTTCTGCATTATTACAAATTTTCTGGAATTCTTCATTCAGATCCAGCTGTTTGATACTAATCTGGGAAAAAATTATACTACAGTTTGGTCTGTGTAAACTGAAAATGCAGAACGCTTGCTAGGAACAGACAGAAAATTTCTTTGCAGAAGTACTTTGTGTTTGGTTGAGTTAATAAATCAATTTAATATTTTGTAAACAATTATTTGTCTGAGACTGTGCATTTAGCAGATGCTTTTATCAGGCGATATTTCATGTTTTTCTATGGTGCAAATGTTCTGTTCTTGCATAAATTAATTATATCGGAAATTGAACATTTGCACTTTGGAAAAACATACAGAATCAATTATCTTCCACAACATTTTATTATAAAAGATAAATAGATTTAAATACATTAGCATTGGTAATAAAGTCTGATTTTGATTTCCTATTTGTGCACTCAATAAGCTTTTAAGAATGTATTTCTTCTACTGAAGACAAAATAATATACAGCTACTGAAGAAAAGCAGCCATTGACATCCTCCACAATAGGATTTTTACCAACATTCTTCAGAGTATCTTGTTTTGTGTTCAACAGAAGAAAGAATTTCAAACACGTTTGAAAGATGGTGGCAGATTTTTCTTTTTATTGTGAACTTTAATACTGATTCAGATCAATTTGACCAACAACATAAGATTTTAGCTATAATGTCCTTATTTGTTGAAATAGAAAGCAGGACAAATATTTTTGTGTTTACTTTGTACCCAGTTCATAGAAAGTGCTCTTCCAAATAATAATCACACAATACAGGGCTTTTCCAGTCTATTAAATGACTTGGATCGGATCACAAAATAACTCAAGTTCGTTCAAGAACAGAGCGGAAATGGATGACGGGTTGATTGTCTTGTGACTGACCGAACTCAAAGCAAACTCAATTAGTTAATTTGAAAGAAAATCTCTTTTGCGACGGAGCCACAAGAGCCAGTGACTGAAGAGCTATCTGAGGTGAGATTAATAACCGCTAAAAACAGGACCATTCGACTAAAACAGTTTAAAAAAACTGAAGTGACTCCAACACCGAGAGATAGTCCTGAGAGAGAGAGAGAGCTTTACGTAGTATTGAACTCCGAGATCATAATTTGATGGAGTGAGTCAGGATAGCTTTTCTCAAAATGTCTCCACGTCGTGGCGCAGCGCAGATTGAAACGTGCTCGAGAATCCAAAAATCGCAGGATTAATGTTTGATCAGGACACTTCTGTCGGATTTCACACTTTTTGTTTCTCTCAAATCACACACGGCTTTAAAATGCAGAGAGAAGGAACTGACATGCGACATGAATATTAATCAAGCACTTACAGCACAAACACATCAACAAACATTTGATTTTAGCAGATATTTTTTTAATGCTTTATGCGGTCTAGACGTGAAGAATGAACTGTAGGGCGCAAATAGAAGTGAATACAATTATTACACTGTAAAAATATTGGTTAATAGTTCCCCCCGGTAATTTACAGTTATATTAAATTATAGGAATTTTTGATGTTGAAAATTCTAACTCTGCAGTTTAACAAAGTGACTTTTGTTGACATTTTAATAGATTTAGGTGCCATGTGTACAAAATAACAGCCTACAGAAAATTAAATCCGATAATAAGTACTGGCAGTTTATTGTCAGGTTTATTATCATTACTGACAAAGGTCTCTCAGAAAACTTTATAAAAATTGTCAATAAAAGTCACTTTGCCAAACTTTTTATTATCAAAACCTGTTGTTGAAGGAAAGATCAGGGTCTCATAAAGCAATTCCATAAAAAGACGAGTAATAAAATATGTTAATTTACGAATATTTTACATTTATAGTGTACGGCATTCAATGGCTTAATTATTGCAGTACTTACTTTTCTTAGGGAATATGTGGCTTCCCTCTGGGCTTTGTCCTCTGTCCCCTTCTACTTTCTGATCACTGTGTTAAAGATTGTCGACAGTCAGTTTTGTGCAAACTCTTGAACTTCTGTCTGCCCTGCATAAGAACTGTGATGTTGTGTACATTCACCTCTCTCTTTCTCTCCCTCCCTCCCTCTCTCTATTTTACTCTTCTCCTCCCTTCTCTTGTCTTTTTCCCCCTCATTTTTCCTTTCTCCCTCACTTTCTTTTTCTCATACATCTTCGTTTCTTTCATTCTTTCTCTCAGTATCTGCTCTTTCTTCCTCTCTCTCCGTCTGTCTTCTCACTCCCTTCCAAACTAGCAACTTTTTCCAGATGTGCACCTTTTCTTTAGATTTGTTTGAGGATTTTTGCCAATTCTCTCAAACACACACACATACACACACACACACACACACACACACACACACACACACACACACACACACACACACACACACACACACACACACAAACACACACACAATACAGACCTCATCTGTTCATATAAATTAATAGTGCTCTAAAACTAACCCATATGGACGTCTTGTTGACATTTTGAAGCATAATATGCAAACATCATTAGCATTTCAAATAGTGATAAGCACTTCAGATGTCCTCGTCAGTCAGTTTTTGATGTTTTAGTTGATGTGTGAGGACTTTTTTCCACATACACACACACATACACACGCACACGATCTCACAGGGCAGCAGTCTCATAAATCAGCTTTTCTCACATGATTCCTGTTACTCAATCAAAAGGCTCTACAACATCGCTGAATGACAAATGCATGAGCTTGCATGTGCCTTTCGGTTGGAATGCTCTTTATTGAAAACACTGCATTCATTATTCGTGTCTTCACTTCTCACTGTGTTATTTCCATGGTTACAGTGGGTGAATAAAATAAACGTCAGAATTGAATTCAGCCTGGATTAAAAACAGTGTCCAGGCTTACATCTCACAATATGTTGACACTAGAAACTAAATGTCAAAGAGTTTATAGTCTTGATTTTTGGAACTATTATTTTCATCCATAAAACAGCTGTTTCCATCCTCACAATCACAGTTTTAGCTTTTTAAACGGTCATCAACCCCTCCACAGAAGCTCAAAACAAACAGCATATGCCACAGGAAAGGACACTTAGTGCTGGAGACAATGTGGGTAGAAAGAGTTCTGAAAAATCATACTCAAGTAAAAATACCACTACTTGCCTAAATATGCAGCGCAAGTAGAGTTAAAGTGTCTTGTGAATATTACTCAAAATATGAGTAAAAGTTGCCCTTTTAAAAGTACTTAAGAGTAGTGAGTAATATGCTGTGAAAAGCTGATGCATTTACCTGTAATTTATGGATGTGTGTAAACGTAACATTCTGTAGTGCATTTGGGTATTGCCCAGCATGCACACAACCTCTTGAGAAGTTAATATTAGGTTAGATTTAGTTTTGATGTCGGGTGACCAAAGTTAAATGTTTAGCTAGCGTCTAAGGACAAGGTTATTTTGATTATTTATGCTCGATTTTAGGTTGGGCTTCGGACATTGATGTCAGCCTGATGAACAAAATGCAACATCTCTATGACGTTGGGGTACAACTTCATTCTGATGTCTTGTTGACTGCTGGGTGTTTAAAGCCATTTTGCTCTTCATACAGTAAACATCCTTCATTTTTCCTTCAGTGACATGCATCTAAACAGTCGGATCAATGTGTGTAAAAAAATTTGGAAATCTTTTGGACACTTTTAACGCATACAGATTGCTGCAATTATAAATCGCCCATGTTTTGAGGTAGTTCTGTATGATGCAATTTACCTCTTTACTTCTATGTGAGATTGATTGGACAGGAATCAAAAGACTGATTTTTCTAATCCCCATAGACAAGAAAAAATAAAGTAGTGTCTGCAGGTTGTACAGTTCAAAGTACAGATACTGCACTAAAAATGTTTTCAAGGGAAAGTATAAGTACACATTAATAAAACTACTCTATGTAAAAGAACATAGAGTAATAGACAACATACTTAATATTGCACTATCATTTCAATCCATGTATTTTTTTTTTTTTTTTTTGAAGCTCTGATATCCAAATAAGTAAACCTGAAAAATACTCACTTGATATTTTAATAATCTGCAGCCAAAAAAGCAACTTCAAAACACTGCTTACTTCCTGAATCCCAAACAATCCAAGAATGGCTAGAAAAAGTAAATGATATTTATGTGAAGCAAAAAAAATTACATTCTCCCTTTGAATCCAAATGAATGTATTTAGAAATATCTGGTCCAAGTGGACTTTCACGCACCTAAAAATTCTAAATCTTTTTAGGTTATCCAAGACATTCAGTGAACAGTCCTTTAAACAATCGTTTGTTTCTTAGGACATTTTAATAATGGAAACCTTTTTTATTCCCCATATTAAAACATTATTGTAATGTTAAGGTTCTTTGAAGGTTAAATGAGCTTCATGGAACCATCAGTGATGTTAAAGAACCTTTATATTTAAGAGTTTAATGACAGCAGAAAGAAAAGTTGAGGGAGATTATGGAGCTGGAAATATTTTTATTCCCTGGTATCCAGATGTTATATTTGTTGCGCCTCCCTCTCCCTCTCTCTCTCTCTCTCTCTCTCTCTCTCTCTGTTTTTGTGGTATGTGTTTTTTGTAGAATGTGAGTATTCCTGTACTTCAGCTCAGGAGTCACAAGGCCCTCATGCACCTGCTTCTCATTAAATAAGGCAATTTGTCACCTCTAACTGAATTCCTTGCTCTTCCTCTAGCTCTCCATTTATCTGTCTATCGCAGTCTTTTTATCTTTGAAAAACATATTAAGCTGAATATAAAACTATTCCAAATATGTGGGTAATTTTTTTTTACATTTCATCAAAGAATTGTGTCTATATAGCTACTTTAAAGACGTAGCCAGTGGGGGTTCGGGAGGTTCAAAAGACCCACCCCTCACTGACAAAGGTGCAAAATCAGTGTGACTTTAGCTAATCAGTTTTGGCCAATGCAAACAAATATTTTTCATGAGTGCAACAACCAGCTGTGCTAGAAAACATACGATCTGACGTAAGTGAAGTCATCTTTCGCTGCTGTATTGTTTTTAAATGGAGAAAACATTTTACAAGAAATGTTTATTGTAAATAGTGGACCTTGTTAAAACAAAAAATGAAAAGGTAAAAGAAAATTATTTGTTTATTTTGGCTAAAATAGTCAAAAAGTCTGGTTATGATGACCACCCGACAGGCTAATTCAGAATAGTGATAAAATATCACTAAAATGCTGTATTTAAATATCATAATTCAATAGAAAATGAGACGAATAATTGCAAAAAGGTCCACTTTTTGAGGAAAAAAAAAAGAACCACCCCTTTCACCAGGCTACCTAGGGCCTGTTAAGTAGAGATTGCGTTTCTCTGTAGACTATAACGTGTTCTTTAAAGAGGGAAAAGTTTGTTTGAGCGGTTCTGTACGGCTGTTTTTGATTTATCTGCTCTGGCGCTAATTATGTGTATTTCGGTGCCAGTGATGTAATCATTACGTAATTCATTTTTTGATGATTTTGGAACTCCTCTTTATTTGACGTGAGTCAGACGTTTGTTCAGAATGTGTCGTGTGCTCTTCTGCTGCCACCTGCTGGTCAAAGAACACTTTAAAACCCAATAATAGCCTAATTCCCGATGCGGAGCAGCAGGCTAGCATACTAGTATAATATCGTGCATACTATCTCTCAAAATAAACAGGGTAGGCATGACTATAAGCATCTTAGGTAACACTATTTTAATGGTGTATTTGAGTTTTAGTGGACTGTCTGCTTAATATCTGTTGATACTGCTCCTTCACCAGACATTTAACTGACTTTTAGAAACTTTGTAACTCACTAACCCCAACCTAACAGTCTACTTATAATCTAATGAGAATTAGTTGGCATGTGGATGCAATGTAACTTAAATACAACAAACAGACCATCAAAATGCATCTTACAAACGCTGTAATCACTTTTAAAGAGGTCACCCGGATATTTCCAGTAACTTGAAAGTATTTCAATTTAATTTTGAAGTGATAGTTCACCCAAACATAAAAGTTTACTCACCCTCAAGTCTAAATCTTTATGATTTTCTTTCTTTTCCCAATACTCGATTGAGGTCAGAAGGGCATCTGCAGCGTAAAACATATGCTGGAGTAGTTGGCAGTTCATTCCGCTGTGGCGACCCCTGATAGGGGACTAAACCGAAGGACAATGAATAAATAAATGATTTTATTTCTTGTGTTGAACACAAAAGAAGATATTTTGAAAACAAAACTTGCTGAAACAGAATTTCTGGAACCCTGTAACCACTGACATTCAAAGCAAAAAACTAAATTACTGACAGTCAGTGGTTTCCGCCTTTCTTGAAAATATCTTCTTTTGTGTTCAACAGGAAAAAGAAATGTTGGATCAAGTGCAGGGAGAGTAAATGATGACTGAATTCTCATTTACTTAGGAGAACTAGTCTTTTAATTTAAACTATCAGTTACCAATATGCCAAAAACAACTCTATAAAAGGTCAGAAATAAGGAAGTGAGCTTGAGGAGCGAGAGAGGAAGTAACTGCATGAGAAACCAAGAAAATTGTACCTCAAGATCCTGTGAACGTCCACTGTGGTGTAATTTAGTTCAACTTCCTGTGTTGTTTGAAAAGAAAACTGTTCATTAGCTCTTCATTGGTCTTAAAAATGGTCTACAAGATGGACAGTGATGTCTAATGTCTGATGGGACAACTGATAGATGGCCTAATTGTTTTTGGAAATGTTAGTTTTGTTCATAAGGATGTATGCAGCCAAACACGTCCTCCTCTGGATTGTATTTCTGTACTGTTGGCATGAAGCTCAAGGTAATGATGATTATTATTTATATATCATTGCAATGTTGTGGTTAACATCACTGTATTGATGAAATCTCACCCACATATGTTTTTAAGGGATGGTTCACCCAAAAATAGAAACTTACTATTCACTCACTCTCAAGTGGTTTCATACCTTTATGACTTTCTGTTGGAAAATTTGATTATTTAAATAAACGTTTGCAACCTGTAACCATTGACTTCCATAGAAAAAACAAGTACTTTTCAGCATTCAACAATTTTCTAAATATCTTCCTTTGCATTCAACAGCGGGGAAAAAATGAAATTGTTGTGGAGGAAAAAAGTGATGAAGTAAAAAATTTCATATATTATTTTCAGCCTTGGGTGAACTATGCCTTTAAGAAGTTACATAAATATCAGTAGAGTACTGACGTATCAGTAACACATATTTTAATTTCTTTCTCCCTCCAGCCCGTCTTTCAATTGATTTGCTGAACAGAACCAGAGTGGCTCTAGCAGGAGGTACTCTTGAGTTCAACCTGAAAGTGGTCATTCCTGCAAACTCCACATCGAAACTTGAATGCTACACTCAGAAAAAAAATATTTGGAATAAAGAACTAAAGGGAGGACTTCAGGAACAAACAAAGATGGTGCCTGCCCAAATCAAAATGCACAATAGCTCCAGTTCCGGCAATTACAATTTTCGTTATGAAAACCAAAAAGTGTATTGGGTGGTTCAAGTTAGGGGTGAGTCTGCATATCACTGAATATATTAATATTATGAATACATTAGCTAAATTTTGGCATTTAATAATACAGATGTGAGCCTTGAATCCCAATTTGTTAGATGTGTGACTTGTGACCCAATTAACGGGTTTGATAGAATAAAGTGGCTATTTTTGGATGCATAAAAATGATGACAACAATAAAAAGCATGTGAGTTGAGCCATGTGACGTTCGATTGAAACTGCCACTTTCAGCAGAAATAAAATGTTGCAAATATTGAGACAGAAAAAAATGACTGCTTCTCTTCCATACCAAATCTCTGTGATGCAGATAAAGGTTACGAGGAACCACCTTATGAGTTGCACACAGACTACATCATCATGATGGCGATCTCTGGAATTCTTCTTACCTTCAGTGTTGCTGGATCACTGTGTGTATTTAAGAGCTATAAGGTAACCTCTGGCCACACATTGTCTCATAAAAACATAAGAAGTACTATAAAAATTAATTCTTGTCTCAATGAAATGAACAGCTCACCCCAAAATGAAATGTGCTGTTCCCCTAGTAGCAAAGAATTCTGGCCCAGATTTGGCAAAAAGCTGGCACAGCAGGCATTCATCCGGCACTGGCATACAGCATGTGGGCCAAACATGGCCCGGGTTTGGCAGAGGTGGCACCGTTTTTAAGGCGGCACACAAGGTTTGGGCCAGATGAAAAACGTAGTATTTGGCCCAGATTTAAAAATTTGATAAGTGGGCCATGTGAGTTTGGCCAGTCTTGACCCACATTTAAAATACACTAAAATCATTTTTGAGTAAAGAAAAAAAATTCTACCAATCAGGTCACTTTGAGAAAAATCGTGCCCATAGTGTGCCTAAAGCGCATCACTCCATGGATTTATCAATTTCATTGCAATCGTGACACACCAACCTATCTGGCCCAGTTCAGGCCCAGTTATGAGTTATTAACTTGGCTGAGACTTGGCCCAGATATGGTCTGTGTTTGGCCCTTGTCTGGAAGCCAGATTTGGTCCAGTCATGTACCGTAATTCACTGCGGCATGTGGGCCAAGCAAAACCTGATTGTGTGGGCCAGAGCTGGGCCAGAGAAATTTTGCTATGTGGGTCATTTACTTAATTAACTTACCCCTAGGCCATCCAATATGTAGGTGACTTTATTAATTTGTAGAAAATAAAAGACTTAAATTGAAACCATGTTACTTTTTGGTACATAAAATACAGCTATAAGCACTTTGACAGTCAAAAAACAAAGAGACAAGCAAAAACATACAGTATACAGGCGAAACAAAATTAAATTCTGTCTGTAGAAGAAACAAAACATCATTTAGCACATTATCAGCTTTAACCTTGTTTCATGTTTATGTAAATGTTTAGATAATACCCCAGCAAGCAATTTTGTTTAATAGACGTCTAATAGACATCTAAATGTAGACAGCTTGGCTAAAACAAGGCTAAATTTGGGCTAAAATCTAACAGATATCTAAGAATAGCCCAAAACTAGGCTATTCGTCAAATAGACAGATTAGACAGACTTTAGATGTGTAGTCATTCATTCATCAAATCCTCCCATGAAAATAATATTTGACATTCATTTTCATTATGCTGAGAGAAAATGTTCTGAGAATGTCTATATGTGATATTATTCGTACTTTATGAATGATATTTGCCGGATGTTAGCCTTGAAATTCTTGAAATGTTACAAATAAACACTTAGAGTCAAAAGTAAGGTTAGCAGAATGTTGCATTAACATTACTTTAAAAACCATTCTCATAACAACCTTTTAAAAGATACATTTGTCAGCTGTAACTACTGTTGGTTCGGTGTTATTACGCAAGATGTGTCATTCCAGCTCTAGATGCTTTGTTAAGAGTTGCATTTTGGTTGCGAGATGGTTCTGTGATGGCCAAAAAAAGGGCAGAAGTGTACTTTCCAGAAATCCACATGTCGTACTGGCACTTTTAGATGTAGTTTTGGCTGATCTGTTTCAGGAGAAGCCTCCGTGTAGAGATGATGAAAATGAAGTAGCGGAGCAGAGAGCAGAGGAGAGCGATGATGTCATCCTGGATGAGGATGCCGGATCTGCATCACTATACACTGTGAGATATTATTTCTGCTTCTCTGGATAGGGTTTTATTTTTATTTTCCATGGCATTTGTTTGTCTTTTTTTATCCTTTGTTTAATAAGAATTATAAATAAGACTGTCTCAAATAAAGTAATACATCATTTCTGACAGGCTCTACAATACAGATCAGACTCTGTTTATGATACATTGCATCCTGAGACGACAGCAGATGAAGGAAACACAACGGAGAATAAATCCCATATAAAGGTTTGTCTAACATGCGGAACAATGGTGCACTTTGATAAAAGGGCTCCTATTTTATCCCTTTTACAAGGTGAAATATAATTCTTTGGTGTCTCCAGAATGTGTCTGTAAAGTTTCTGTTTAAAACACCCATCAGATTATTTATTATACCATGTAGAAAATGCCAATTTTGAGCTCAAACCAAAATTTAGCTGTTTTTGTAGTTTGTGTCTTTAAATGCAAATGAGCTGGTTCTCCCCGCCTCTCATTGCATGTTTGCTTATACTGCATTAAGTCAGATAAACAGCAGTCAGTAACAGAAACAGATGAAGTCAAAATAGAAAGTAAGTTTATTTGGTGTATTTGTGTTGGAGTATATTCAAGCCTTTCTGAAATGATGAGTCACAAAAGCTGTGTTTGCAGGACACACACACATTTACTGACTGCAAATGTGATGATTCCAGCGGTTATAAATTGCATGGTGATCTGTCTTTATTACAAACATTCACTGTTTTAAAAACATTTTAAACTTGTTAAACACATTCCTGAGGTGCAGCTGATCACAGAGAGTCGGAACAGATCTTTTAATCCCAGTTTCTTTGCAAGTCCTGTTTTTTGGACATGTTTACACACGTTACTATGAGACATGTTAATACGCTCCTGTCAATCAATTCAGTGGCTGGGGAAAACTGCACTCCTACATCACGTATCAGTAGGCCTTAAAATCATTGGGCTCTAGATCCTATTTTAACGTCAGGAGATTAAAAAATACTTTTTGTATTCACGATACTGGAATTTGGTACCTGTCTGTGCTGAATTTTTAAAAAGATCAATTTCCCGCTAACATTTAAGCACTGTTGTGCGTGTTCTTTAAAAACGTCCATTTCCATGAAGATTGGCTGGTCTGTCTATGAGCTGACATACAAGCAGTCCACTGATGAATTGACTGATCTTCGCAGCTTTAAAATGCTCCAGTGTTCCTATATCTGTGTTTGTACTTGGTAAACAGCGGTGAGTTTAGTGAGCTGATGAGCTTTAAGGCCAATCACATTTCTGTTGAGCATGTGAACACAAGGGCAAATCAGCGTTGTTTAAGCTTAAATGTTGGTGGGAAATTAACATTTTTTAAAATGTCAGTACCGACTGATACCAAATTTCAGTATCATGATAACTAGGGCTGCAAAATGTATTGTTTCAGCATCGATAACGCTATTTTGCATCATCTGCAATAGTCACATCGTTGAGTTAGGATTGTATAATTTGGGATTATATATATTATTGTATTGGAAGTATGTGATATTTGTGGAGTTACTGCCGAGTTTAACCTTAATGGAGTAAAAGTTTATCGTTCGCACATGTTTTTAGGCGCTAAGAGCATTCAGACACAATATTTAAAAGAAAATAATTTTATTGAACTGATGAAACAGTAAAGTCTTTGCAGTGGTATTTTAAATTTGGCTTTTTTCTCTGTAGCTGAATAAGATTTGACTGCACTGTGAAAACCATAGAGCACTGTTTATTTTGCTCTTATATTTGCATATTACATTTCATGCATGATTTTTCCCCCTACAAAGTCATGGCAATCGATTGAAAAATAATACATTGTGTCCAATAGGGCTATTTAATTAATCTAGTGAAATTGTATTTACAGTATATATCTATATATATCGCAGAAATACAAAATATTGCAATGTCAGATTTTTTTTTATATCAGCCCTAGTGACCACACTAGTTTATATCACTCCAATATGAATGTGGACACACTATACCTACATATAGTTCTGTCCAAACAGCTTCCAAAAGGTTTTTTGCATCATAGGTGCCCTTTTAATTGGGTAAATATGTGAGCAGTCTTATAAATATACAGCTGATAGAAAAATTAATTGTGTGGAATAAAGATTTTTTTCGCCTCATGACTATTAATCAAAGAAAAACTTCTTAAGTACAACTGAGTGTTGTTTCAGAATACCAATAGTTTGATCTGTTTTGCTCTTTTTCAGGACTGCAAAGTACTAGAAGATGAAGCATTTGATTCTGTCTATGAAAATTTTTGAATAAATATAAAGTAATGAATGAATTTGTAAATATTTTCTTACCTGCTATAATGTACTTGGTGTAAATATAACGCTAGTTGTGTAAAATTTATTATTTTAATGTACAAGTTGTATAATAAAATACTGCAAAATAAATAAAAGTAACAAATTTTTGATTTCTAAATCAATGTGTGGTTTTCCTTGAACTAACCAACAACAAAAAACCCGCCCTCACCCTTTGTAAACCAATTAAACAAAAGCTTCAGATGTGGGCAACCAATGGGAACAATCGGAGAGCGGCTTCCGGTGTGTTTGCCCTCCTACTGAATATCAACAATGGCAGCCGAAGGAGATTTTCTGATGCGCTACCGGGCGGTGTCAAATAAACTGAAAAAGTAAGAGCTGGAAAGCTTTCTCATACAAACTAAGTTATGTTTTAACGTGTCTTTTGGTAGATAATCGACGTTGAATTTTTATAGCGTCGCCTAAAACCACAGAACGTCATGTCAAGGCTAGCAACACACAACCATCACTAGCCTTTTGCTAATTTCACGTAAAGAGGATCTAATTGAAGAAAATGACGATAATGTTAGATAATAAATGTAAAATTACTTAAGATGTATGTGTAAATATTATATCTTGTAGATGTTTAATGTCAAGCAGCTTTACATACCGAACAGTTCTAAAAGAGCTTGTATGAATGTTCAGCTGTCAAATCTCATTAGTACTGTTATTAAAGCTTTAATGATGCTCTTCTTGAATCACAGGCGCTTTCTTCGGAAGCCTAATGTTGCAGAAGCAAGTGAACAATTTGGTATGTATTGTATTAATTGAAGTAAAGTTGCTTTTATATTCGCACATTAGTTCATTTAACAGTCTCTATATGGTTTACTACGCTCCTTTGAATATTGGGTCTAAAATTGCATTGAAGTATGACTTTAACAACATTAACAACCCTAACAACATTAATTGACTGTAAACAATGTTGTACTTAGCTGATAATGTTAGTTCCCCATTTAGAATTTGCAAAAATACTTTTCTGAGTTTATATTAAGGAAAAAGTCTGAATGTGTGAATTTGAAACCATTTAATACAATATTGGGTTAAAGTTGATGGCAATAATTCTGTCTTTATAGTTGAGAGTGTTCATTTTTTTATTAAAACTATTTAACATGTTTCCTCAGGTCAGTTGGCTAAGGAGCTGAAACAGCAGGACTGTCCTCAGTATGCGGCCTTCTGTAATCTTGCCATGGCTCGGTAAAATAACACAATAATCACTCATAACATTTCATATATTTCTGCGTCCATCTCTATTTGCGGTCCATAAATAATCGAAAAATTTGTTTAAAACATTTTTTTAATGCATTGAATGGAAAGTATTATTTAATTATTAAATGTTCACAAATGTTTCGTGAAGTAAAATCTTATTTTATATTTATTAAATGTTTTAAAATTTAAATAATGTTAATTAGGTATGTAATACAATTAAATTTCAATAATTTTTAAAAACATTTTATTAAAATAATTATTGTCAATAAATTTTACTGGATTTACATGAATACTATATTTGTCAGTAGAGTAGTCTAGTGTCTTAGAAAAAGTAATGATGTAACAAAAACTTAATATTTTCCAAATGTTTATCATATTATTTTTTACACTGTATTTATGTGCTTACATATTTTGTTGAATTTTAAATGTACGAATTGGAGGTAGTGCTGCACAATAAATAATTTCTGCATCAGTATCACAATGTGATCATTTGCAATAGTTGAATGATATGCAATGTTGAGTCTGTATTTTAATTTATGAAATTGCATGTGTTTTTGAGGCCCCTGGAGGTATAAGGATTTTTAAAAGCATTCATGCATTAGAAATTGTACTGTTTGTAACAATTAATAACATTACTTTTCAAATTATTATTTTTTAAATTTTCAATTTGTGTAAATGAATAATGCTAGAGGTGATGCAGTGGCGCAGTAGGTAGTGCTGTCGCCTCACAGCAAGAAGATCACTGGTTCGAGCCTCGGCTGGGTCAGTTGGCGTCTTGTGTGGAGTTTGCATGTTCTCTCTGCGTTCGCATGGGTTTCCTCCAGGTGCTCTGGATTCCCCCACAGTCTGAAGACATGCGGTACAGGTGAATTAGGTTAGCTAAATTGTCCATAGTCTATGAATGTATGTGGGTGTTTCAGAGATGGATTGCGGTAGGAAGGGCATTCACTGCGTAAAAAACGTGCTGGATAAGTTTGCGGTTCATTCCATTGTGCGACCCCAGATTAACATAGGGACTAAGCCAAAAAGAAAATGAATAAATTATGTTAGACTCGGAAAAAGATCAATCACAGATTATTTCACTTGTATCTTTTCTTTATTGTATTTATCTATAGATATTTATAGATAGTTTGTTATATATCATGAATATGCACTCCCTTACAGAATCATCCCAATCAATCCAAAATGATAAAGTCTTTCCAAATTGAACTATTTAAATCATCTAGTGAAATTGTATTCATAAAGCAAAATAACAAAATCACAATGTTAGATTTTTCCAGTATTGTGCAGAACTAATGGGAGATCCCTCCTAAGAAAATGATTTTGTTTGTGAGTCTGTGGCATGTAAACGACTGAAAGCCAGTGATCTTTATAGAACATGTACATTTTATTTATTTATTTCTGTAGCTGTGAGCAGACGCTGTTTAATGCTCCAGGGGAAGCCTTGGCTCTGACGGATGCAGCGCGGCTCTTTCTGGCCTCAGAGCAGGAGACCAGAGCACTGAGGGCCCCAGGCTTCGATGAGAATATGCAGGCAGCAATGAACTGTTATAGTTTTGCTATTAAGGTATTTATCGCAATCATTTTCTCACAGCTCTCACAGATAAGCATAAATAAACACAAATTCATTAATTTGCAGAAAGTTAGCCTCCAATTTTAATGTGCTTTTTTAAAATGTTTATTTAACTTAAAGGGGTTATATGTAGAATTGAGAAAAGCTTGTTTTTTGTGACACTGGTGGTTGTTAAGTGAGCTGCAACCAATAAATTATTGCTCAAAGTTGTGCACATGTAACATAAAAGAGACTGAATGTGATTCAATACTCACAGCAAAGATCTTTTTAATTGTTGATTTAGACGTAAAAGGAAGTATATATACAATATATGAGGGCACTCAAATTATACTGTTATAATAGGTTATATTATAAAGTATGTTTTAATATAGTATAAAGTAGATTATATTATAAAGTAATTGAGACCATAGACTGCATAGATCTGGCTTTGAAGTATTATAGTTTAAAATAAAAAGTTTGACACATTGATGTTACAGTAGAGAATAGCTCCTTCAGCATTATCCTATTATAAGCATTGGTTTTGTGTCATAGAACAGAAAGACGTTCTAAAAATTGTGCGTAGACAAACACATCCTTTTTATTTGCTTGTGTCTTTCACATACATCAGTCTATGAGCTTTTAAATACAACCTAGTGGGTAATAAGTCTAATTTTTAAGTTTCGTTAAAAGCTGTTGACATCTATAAACACACACATATAGCCCCTTTAAAAAATGTCAAAACTGCTACAACAGAACTACCAATCCCTCGTTCACTGAATATCATTGCTTTTATAGAAGAATATAGGATGACGTTGAACATTCAAGCAACCACAGCGTGGGAAATAAGTATTGAACACATCCCCATTTTTCTCAGAAAACATATTTCTAAAGGCACCAAGGACATGAAATTTTGCCCGGATGTTGGTAACAATCAAAGAAATCCATATATGGAAAGAAAACAAATCTAATTATTTCACAAATTAAGTTATGTGTAAGGAAGTGAAATGACGCAGAGAAAAAGTATTGAACACATTAAGAAAGGAAGGTGTAGAAAGGCAATGAAAGCCCAGACAGCAGCTGAAATCTCAACATCTACATTACCAGGATGATGATGATGAAGATGAAACCAGGGTGGATCCAAACAGCCGAGGAAACTCTCAAATTCTTTCAGAGAAAGAAAATCAAGCTGTAGAATGGCCCAGCTAATCACCTGCCTTGAGTCCAATATAGATCCGATTTGATAGACGAGATCTACAGAACCATCAAGATTTTTACATTTGTTGAAGTCTGTTTAACTCTGTCATCACCAAAAAAGCCTTTAATATAAAGTATTAATTGCGTTTAAGTAGTTCAGCACTTTCTCATTGTGTCATTCCATTGTTATTTTCCTTTGTTTAGTTTTATTTTTATGTTTGTATTGTTTGGGTTTTTACCAAAATCTGCTTCAATTCCGTGTCAACAGCTTTTTCTTTAGAACTAAAACTTCTTTAGAAATATTGTTCCCAGGATAAAAACATGACGTGTTCAATACTTCTTTTCCCCCGCTGTATATTTTAAACCAGTTTATCCCAAAATAATCGTAAGCTAGTCTTTTGCTTGCCGCTTCTCAGCTGTTTCATGTTGAAATGCTTGTCAAATTTGAAGAAAACTTTGAAGTAAAAAAAAAAAAAAAGAGCCTAAAATCTTGCAATCACATGCAGATTTTGTGTTTTTTCTTAGATGTTATACTGCAAATATGTACTTATATATTGTTCAGGTCTATATTGAGATGAATCAGCCTGTTATGGCGGCCAGTCTCTCACTGGAGCTTGGCAATGCTCTAAAGGTGAGGCATTTATCATTGCAACACATGGGGCTGCTTCTCTATATAAATGCATTAAAATTGCACCTCACTTCCCAGAGCTCAATCCTGAGGTGCTCCTGTTTATATATTTGTGTGTAGGAGATGAACCGCCCAGGAGAGGCCATCATTCATTTCCAGAGAGCTGCAGAACTGCAGATCCAGATGCCAATTGAAGCCCTGCTGTCGCTGTGGGAAATGGCCTCCTGCAAAATACTGACCCGTGAGTTCAGAGACTGATTGATGAAGGTTGTTTGGGGGTCCCAACAGTGATGTGATGTTTGATGCGCAGGTGATTATGACGGCGCTCTTGCTGTGCTCTCCGAGATGCAGCACATGTGTCAGGAAAGAGGACTACAGCTACCTGGGACGAACACGCCTGTCGGTATGAATACCAAAGACTTTTATAAAGTGTAATATCTTGATATGTGAGGTAGAGGAATACATGTTTACAAGGAATAGATTTTCCTTCAAGACTAAAACTGAATAAAGTCAGACAAATATTGTCTTTTTAACTGCTTTAATTCTCTAAGACAGCCTCTGTAAAAGGATCCTAAGGATTGGCTCACAGGCATTTTTAACTCAAATTTTGTTTCGTTTTGCCCTTTTTTGTAAATATTGACAAATGTTTTAATTACAATGTAAAACTCTGATTCACAATCATATGATAGAACATATATTTAGTTTTTTAAACAGCTTAATCATGGTCGAATTATTTGTTTTGACGGGTAATGTGCACAGCCATTGTTGCTTGAAGGAATACAGCTGTAATCCCAAGTTAACAAGAAGTATTTATATTACTTATTAAATTACGCATTAATTGTATTTTATTAGTGTCAAAATAAATTATGCTATATTAAGGTGAGTATCCTTAGCTGTATCCCATCTAGACTTCACCCTCCTCTGCAGCCCGGTTAAATAAAAAAATATATATTATTGCCGTCTCCAAAGACATCCGTGTTTATTTAAAAAATCTTAATCTTTATGTGTATTTGAATGTTTTAAACCTAAAATAAATGTTATTTGTTTTAAAGCACAAATAAATTTTTAATTATGACATGTGCTGGGCATCTCTTTCTGTGCCTCCGCGCATGCCGTCAGATTTGATGACGTGTGCTCGAACGTTCTAATCACACCGGTGTGATCGTACGCTTCAGGGAACTGCCAGTGCTGATCACACCGGTGTGATCATACGAATGAAAGGGTTAAAAGCAATGTTACAATAGTTTAGATAAGCATTTCGCTACAGCTCCTTAACTCTTAAACAAGCAGTAGATTATACACATGGATGTAATAGCACAACAATTATATTGCATTTAATCTTTACTTTAGCAAGACCTTAATCAATATATAATTGCCAATCATTAATATATGATCATCAATATAAAAAAAATCATCACAGTCTGAATATGAAAGTCTTTTATAATATCATGCCTAGATATGTGAGGTACAGCTGCATGATCACAACTTGCATTTGCTTATCAAACTTTTGTAGTATTTTTTTCTGAAAAACAGTTTTTTTTTGCCTCACTCAGTCTACTGTCGCAAATACTTACATTTGCATTTGGTTTGAACCCAGCATAATGTGAGAATTAGTGGAATTTTAAGGATTTTCACATTATGATTATTATTTTATTTTATTTTTTTTTTGGTTTACAAAATATGCTTGTTATTTTCATGATTATGCCCAAATGTTTATGCAGTAAACTTTTCTGATGTATGCTAAACATCAAGGAGTTTAAATATATGTGGAGATTCATAATTCTGCTGTTTGTTTTAATTCCAGGTGCATTTATGGATATCATAGCAAAGTGTGAAATCTCCAGGGTCTTACTGCTTATGCTCCTTGAGGTGAATTCTGTTTTAAATCTGTTAGATTGACAAATAAAGTCCCATCCGTTCTATTTTGCATCCCAGAAGTGAACTATGCTTTGTAAATATGCAAGACAATATCTTGAAGAAAGAAATGCACTAGCAATGATTCTGCTTATGAATTCCATAATAAATTAAAACATTAAAGGACAAACACCATTTTTTGAAATGTGAAGCTGCACAACAGTCTGCTTTTGTATAGCTAAATAGCTGGAAGCAAATGAACCACAGATTCAAGCTACAAACTGGCACTAATATCACACTTTTATGTTAAAAATAAGGTTATTAATGTTTGCTTACTCTACCCTTATGACACTGTTTTTGTGTGTCTGTGTGTATATTTGTTCGTGTTTTAGCCTCCTCCTCAAAAGCTGTTACCCGAACACGCTCAGACACTAGAACGGTACGCTTGGGAATCCTTCGACTCACACAGCCAGGGTAAGACTTTGGAGCTGGTGGAGGATACGGCACAGTTTTTTTTTTATGTTGCTGTTGTATATGAACTGTTATTACCTCTCTTTCCTCTAGTAAACTTCCTTCCAGAAAATGTGTTCCTCCTTCTACAGTCAGTTGTGGTATGTATTCTGAATCTGCTTCTGCAAATTTGGTTGTTACAACACACAGTGGAGTCCAAAAGTCGGACACCATCTGACAATCTGCGTACCAAAACCACTCTAAACCTGTTTAAAAACAGAGATTTTAAAATATTAGGATTTAATAAGAAAGAAATATACTAAGACCAAATATGCTGTTTAAAAAAAAAAAAAATCTTCTATGGTAGAAAAAGTAAAGTCTATGGTACTGATATTAAAAATTCACTTTGCCATTAAAGGTGCAGTAGGTGATTGTCTTCATAAACATTTTTTTTGTTGTCCTGGTTGAAAGTCTCTTTACATTCTAATAGTAAATGATTTAAATGTATTTATATATATATATTTATAATCTGAGGACCAACAATTCTGATAAGTAATTCTGATTAGTTTGTCAACTAATGTAGATTTGTAAATCTGCGCATCTGTGTGTGCGTGCCACACATTCAGGTGCACACGAGGCAGTCACAGAAGTAAAAATAAATACTGAATCAAAACGTTTTCAAATCCTGAATCAATATTGGAGTTACATTTGCGCGCTGGAGGAAGGATGACACCATGGCTGAAGTATTTCTTTTAGACAGGTTATGTTGTTTTAAAACTATTTTAGTCCCCCAAAGCTGATGTAGATTGTGTTGTTTTACGAATGGGCTATATGTACAGAAGTGTTGTTCAGCCATTGAAATCTTCTAGCGAAAGATTGATGCAACTAATTCCAGTTTCATAAAGTACCTTTTACAGCATCGAAAATGTCCATTTTAATTTAGTTTAACAACAAAACAAGTAAATAGCTCTGTTCCACCCTGCCTGCTTTAGGGGCCGATCACACCGAATGCGCTTTATGCGTTGAGAAGCCCCTTTTTTGAATGGTTTACTAACGGCCACGAGCAAGACGACAACAGAGATTTTAAAAGATGGAGGAGAGACTTGTGGCTGCTGTTTTGAGTTATCTGGTGCTGTACGACTCACAAATTTTGAATATTACAATATTATTAATTATTTACATTTTATTAATAGCAACTGCAACACTCAACATTAATATCAACAGCAACACGGACAATACCCAACTGATTCAGTCGTTGCCTAGCGACATAAATAAAAACGCACAGCGCTTCTGTTTTCTTGTCAGCAAAAAAGGCAGTGTGTTGCGCCTCGCGTTTTTGGAACGTAAAGGCGGGTTCGGTTTTATAAGCCCCTTACTCAGGTGAAGTTGGTTTTATATTCACATCACATTAGTTCATTTTAGAACAATGACAACCTGTCTCATGCTTCCTATATTGTTTACCGCTACCTTGAATATTCAGTCTGAAATAGTATTGAAATATGCTTTAGTAATAAGTAATTCCTGCTCCTTGCTGGCCAACCACTAAGCATAGTCGCTTGAGAGACAAAGCGCATCAGAGAGTGAGACCAGCGATTCTTGCATGCATGAAATATTGCACATTATAACAAGTTTTGCTTGCTACACAACTGAAAATGTGCTGATATATTACAGTTTTCATTCAGAATTGTAGTATTATTAAGTACTATACAGTTTTTTAACTGGCGAATGGCATGATCTAATGGGTTGTCTACTGTCGACTTTAGGGTGCAGGTTTATGTTTCAGGAGGCGTGGCTTTGTATGGCAGGGAGGGACTGTGTTTCAAAGATATTATCCTAAACATTTAGTATTTTGGCAGATCACGTACTGCACCTTTAAACTAGTATATAGATGAAAAGATTTGTAATATCTGCTGTATTTAAATGGCTAGTGGTTTCTTACTTTTGGACCACACTTTATAATGTGCTAGATTATCTCAAATGTTATAAACTGACTGCGAGCAGAGCTTTTGTGGTGTTAAAGTGTGTAAATGTTCTGTTTGGTCAGATGGCCTGTCAGGAAAAGGATACAGAATCTCTCAAGGCCCTCCAGACAGAACTATGGTGAGCCTTCTGCATTTCTTGTCTTTGTGTGAGAATTAAGCCTATGCACTGAATAACTGTATTGTCTCTCACGACAGGCCTCTCCTTTCGGCAGAACAGAATCATCTCCTCCACTTAGTGGTTCAGGAGCGAATTACACCCTTCGGTCAGGGCATATGATTCACACCCCCACAAGACAATACTTAATGGAACATTCCTATGCTAGTGCCTGGTGCATTTTGCATGAGGACTGAAGGTCAGTGGGCCTAGTAAATCTGTACATACACATGACAAAGTACATCACATTTCTCAAACGACTGCTGGTTTCATGTCAAACTTTCTTCTGTGAATTGAATGTATGATGTAGTGTTATAAAGGAATGCTTATTTTGACTTTTAATATATTGGTGTTGTAAATAAAAGGACAGAAGAGATTCTTACGGAGAGGTTTTTATTTGTGTGTGATCACTGAAACTAACCTCCTCTCTGGTTTACACAGTTTGCCTTCATTTTTGCATTGAAAAAATAAAACCCTTTTCATTCAGTCAGTGTCAAAATGCAAAATAAAAATACATCTAGAAATTACTGAAAGCAAACTAGGTAAGCAACAAGTGGATAACTCAGACATCTGTATATTATATGAGGAGCGACGTTACTCCCATTAAAACATGAATACATTTTGACAATTACAAAAGAAAAGCATTCTAAAAGTTCTTTTGGAACATTCTGTGCTCTGGAATTAGAATCTTACAGTGTGATCATGTGACCACAAAAGCAATCAATCAACATCGTGCTATTCAAAACATTCAGCATAGCATCAGGGTCCATGATGTCATCATTATGGAGAAATAGTTCAGTGTAGTGGAATAGTATGGTGGCAGAGTGTTCGTACAATCAAATTACAAAAGTCTACATGACCATGAGAATGATCACAGACCAAAAAGCACCATAATGTACCGCAGTAACAGGTTCGACCCTGATCTTGACCTAGAGACTATCCTGTGCTATTGCCGTCTACAAAATAAATAGCGGTGAAAAGAAAATCCAAAATAAGCAATGTTCAAAACAAAGCTAATCTTTAAAGTGCGCGTGAGTTTAAAACTACATGTCGTTCACGTATATTTATCTGTATGTACCTTATATGTACAGCTTCTCTTTCTCTTTGTACATGTTATAAATACATTTTTACAGTTCGTTCTTACATATAATGAATCTACAGCAACTGCGATAAAGTGTTCAGACCCTACAGTATATACACTACCTGACAAAAGTCTTGTCGCCTATCCAAGTTTTAGAAACAACAAATAATAGCTTGACTTCTAGTTGATCGTTTGGTATTAGAAATGGCCTAATTGAAAGGCAAAGGCCTTTAGATTACTCTTTCTTTCATTCATTCATTTATTTTCTTGTCGGCTTAGTCCCTTTATTAATCTGGGGTCGCCACAGTGGAATGAACCACCAACTTATCCAGCACATTTTTATGCAGCGGATGCCCTTTCAGCCGCAACCCATCTCTGGGAAAAATCCACACACACATTTACACTCATACACTATGCACAATTTAGCCTACCCAATTCACCTGTACTGCATGTCTTTGGACTGTGGGGGAAACCAGAGCACCCGGAGGAAACCCACGCAAACGCAGGGAGAACATGCAAATTCCACACAGAAACGCCAACCGAGCCGAGGACAAACCAGCGACCTTCTTGCTGTGAGGCGACAGCACTACCTACTGCGCCACTGCGTCACCTAAATTACTATTATTTTACCAAAATAAAATATGATCATGCCTTGTTTTTTAATTATTTAATTAGGACAGTAAGGTATGACTTTGCCTAGACTAAAGTCTTGTCACTTAACAGAAATTATGCACAGTATAGAATATAAAGTCATGGTGCAGTGGAAAAAGAATCAATATTGTGTATGACTCCCATGAGCTTGAAGGACTGCATCCATGCATCTCTTATTAATAATGTCACCTGGAATGGCAAAGAAAGTGTTCTTGCAGGACTCCCAGAGTTCATCAAGATTCCTTGGATTCATCTTCAGTGCCTCCTTCTTCATCTTACCCCAGACATGCTCAATAATGTTCATGTCTGGTGACTGGGCTGGCCAATACTGGAGCATGTTGACCTTCTTTGCTTCTTTTGAGGCTGAAATATGAGAAGGAGCGCTTTCCTGCTAAAGAATTTGCCCTCTCCCGTGGTTTGTAATGTAATGGGCAGCACAAATGTCTTGATACTTCAGAATGTTAATGTTGTCATCCACCCTGCAGATCTCTCGCACGGACCCATACTGAATGTAAACCCAAACCATGATTTTTCCTTCACCAAATTTGACTGGTTCCTGTGAAAATCTTGGGTCCTTGTGGGTTCCGATAGGTCTTCTGCAGTATTTGTGATGATTCATCAGAAAAATCGACCTTCTGCCACTTTTCCAAATGATCAACTAGAAGTCAAGTTATTATTTGTTGCCCTTTACAACTGGGATCAACGACGAGACTTTTGTCAGGTAGTGTATCTGCTCTCAGTGCTTTGTGGATCTAGGAAAGATTGTCCTTCAAATCAAAATATAGTATTGCTCTAAATAAAAATGCAATAGTCATAAATAAATCTCTTTGTTCATGAAATTGACCAGTTTTACTTAAGACTATCTCATTGGCAGATTTCAAGCATTTTCACAAGTTAAAGTTAACTGTTGATTCTGTGTAATGTTTGTTGTGCACTTTCCAGCAGGGCCTGTAACATTCAAGACATTTCTCTATTTTTCAAGTATTGCACAGGGGATTTGAAGCACATTAGTCAGTCCATATGGAAGTTTGCATGACAAAAGAATAACCTAGGCTGTACATTAGCACTGAGAGCGAGGGCTGAAGTTTAATCCACTCTCTTGCGCAAGATGATGTACATTATTCCAGTGAAGAGGGTCAGCAGCCAGCCAAACCAGGCCATGATGTAGGACCAGCCGTACCAGCCATCCTTCTCGCCTCTGTGGAAGTGGTCGGTGTAGACTGACAGAGCCACCATTATGCAGAAACCTAGAGGTACAAGACAAATGTGTGAATACGCATTAAAATGAATGCCTTTATGATCTGTATGTTTTCTTGACACAACAGTCCACACTACTTTTTGATTAATATGTCACCAAGACTTTGTTGTTTTTTTTTTGTAATATATAGATTTTTTTCAACAGAACAACAGTGGAACTGGTGTCTCATAACAAATACAGCAGTATTTGTTACATTCTAACAAATGCTTGCAGATGCTTCAAAGTAAAGACAAAAATAAAAGGAGATTATAAAACAAATTTAGAAAGACATAGTCATTGAGTACCCTCCAAAAAATGTGAATGCACCAGAACACCTCAGATCTTTGATGTTATTATTCATAAGTTAATTTTTCCAGTGGTAGGAGTCTGATTGCCTGACTCAGCCACATATTGACTGAAGGTCTCTATGCAGTTGACCATGATAATAAATAAATGTTTTGGCGAAGTATATACAAAAATTCAATACACATTCTTTGTCATGATCACGACACAGTTCCGATGTACAATTCAGAAGGTATTCCTTTGAGGACAAAGCAAGTCTTTCCATTTATATTTTTTTATAATTTTGTTAATCTCTTTCCAGTACATTTTGATTTCTTCGCAACCCCAAAATACATTCATCACTGTGCCAATGTCTAACTGACATTTGAAACATAGCTGGGAACAATTGGGAAATATTCTATGGAGGCGAACTGAAGTTAGATAAATCCTTTGAATACATTTAAAATTTTGCTCATGAACTGAAATTGTAGTACTTCTAGGACTGATATTTGAGCAAGCAGATAGCCACTCCTCATCAATAAAAAAAGACCTCAAATCATTTTCCCTTATTACCCCTAAAGAATCAAAGGTTGAAGGACCAGTATTAGACAGCAATGTATATAATCCAGAGATCTTTTTTAAGCGTCCATGAAAAAAAGCTTTTCTTTTTCAGTAAAAATCAAATTGTATATAACCTTTTCTAACGGTAACTCTAAAAAGTGTCGAATTTGAAGGAATTTATAAAAATCTTTACTGGGAAGACTAAATTCCTGTCTTAACTCCTCAAATAATTTTATTTATCCATCAGCCAATAGGATACCCAATTCCGACACTCAAAAGTCAAAAGGCCAATATTCTGTATTGTAGTGGGAAAATCTGGATTAAGCGTAAAACACAACTTTATCCATTTGGGATGGATAAATATTTCTTTAGACGAATGTTTTTAAATGATCTGCACTGGCTAATAACTTGTTCTGCTTGACTAAGTGTTGAGAGACTTGTTTTAAAGTTAGGATTTGCAAAGAAACCACAGGAGCTTTTTCTAGTTTACTTTTTTCTACAAAGTCTGATTTAAATGATAAGTAACACAAAGCCAATTGTAATTCTGTCTTAATGATAATATCTCTTAATTATGTAGATTTATTTTAATTGACTTGATGATTTTCTGAATTTCTTCTATGTATATATGCAGCCCGATCTCATGAGGAAAGTAAGTATTATGTATTGTCAGTAAAGTGGATAATTCCTATGAAAATGTATGATTTTTAAAAGGAGGCATGTCCCCTAACCCTACCTCTCACTGGGGGTCAGCAAATTGTACTAAAATGTATGAATGAAATTGTAGAAATGATTAAGAACTAACCTCTAAATCAAAACTTTACGAATTGCTTTGAGAAAACTGGACTGACCATTTTTATTTATTAGAACTTTTATGTTAACTGCTTTGACACAATCTACATTGTAAAAGAGCTTCTAGAAATAAACATGAATTGAACTGGATTGAATTGCGTTGATAAATGTGCTGTCCTAAAGGGATAGTTCACACAAAGATTTCTTGCAAGTTGCTCTTACTAAAGGAAATTTTACTGAAGGAAATGAATTTATAATTTTGGTCCCACTTTATATTACGTGTCCCTAACTACAAAGTACTTACATCAAAAAATACATAAAAATGTACTTACTGTGTTTATAATGTATTTGAGAACACTTGTGGGGCTTTTGAGTTGGAATAGAGGTTGGGTTATGGACAGGTTTGGTGGCATGGGTAGATTTAAGGGTAGGTTAAGGTGTAAGGGATGGCCAATAGTGTATTTACAAATGTAATTACAAAAGTTAAATACAGATGTAATTAGATACATGTATTTAATCAAGCATAAGTACACAGTAAATACATGTATTTACACAATAAGTACTTTGTACTTACACAATTACACAATAATTCCTTTGTATGTACATATTAGTTAAGGCCACTTAATATAAAGTGGGAGCACAATTTTTATTTCTGTTGAACACAACAGGAAAAGATATTTTGAAGAATGCTGGAAAGCAGTAGCCATTGACATCCATGCTAGGAATAAAAGATACAACTCAAGTCAATGCTGTAGGTTCCAGTATCGCAAATCTTCAAAATGTTGTCTTTTGTGTTTCAACAGAAGACACAAAAAGGTTTTAAACAAGTGAAGAGTAAAAAGAATTACATTTTTGGGTGAACTTTTACTTCAATAATCAAATTTACAGAATCCAGAACTTACAGGAAATTAGCTGCACAACTCCCGAAAGGATGAACCGCTTTCCTTTTCCAAGAGTAAAGAGCTGGATTATGAACACGATCAGAGAGAACACAGCAAACAGGCAGGACAACACGGCAAATCCTTGAACTGCCTGCAGATAATCTAGGAGAATAGGATTACATTAGTAAAACACACACATCTAAACAAACATACTCCTGGAATTATTTGTCCTACCTTTCCGGTATGAGGTTGGTATGTCCATGTACACCCAAACATTATCATTGTTCTCCATCACCCATTGGCCCCACAGATCTGTGTAAAGGGTCCTCGTGAACCACCAAGCCTGGGACAAATCATAAACCTACTAATAAGGGCTTGTGCAACTTATTCCTGGAGGGCTACTGTACCGCAGACAGCTTCTACTCAAATTAAAACACCTGAACCAGATTATAAAGAGTGTGATTTAAGTCCAAATGTCTAACATTTCTTAAATCATGAAGCATTTTTTTAGACAAGCCAAAAGTCTTGTCAAAATCAAGATAATCATGTTTCCATTTTGAAATAAGATTACTTACACCATTTTCAGATTTTTTTTGGCTTGTTTTAAAGAAAAACTCACTTAATTTGGACATTTCAAATACTGCACAGTGCTGCTTAAAGTCTTCCGACTCGTCTCGGCAAGAGTATTGGAGCTAGTTGCTAGAATTGGATGTAATATGTATTAATAATAACCCAATATACACTCACCAGCCACTTATAACATCAACTGCTAATGCAAATATCTAATCATGGAGATATGGTCAAGAATATAGTACCATCACCCTGTGTTAATGCACATTTTGAATGATCACACAGGAAACAAGTGATAGAAATACCAAATTTTAAATAGAAACCCCATAATTCAAACAATTGTTTATGCTCCGGTTAATGTGAATAATGGGGGATGGAAAGGCATGTTATAACATGGCAAACATTAAACCCAAATGACCAACCAGCTGACTCCACTATGCTTTCCTTGTTTACTGTTGGTTACTAGGTTACCAATACTATAGTCAGCTACTCTAACAAATCTAATTCACTGCAAAAATGATGTTGATTCAATGATATGAGCTAATTAAAACTGCTCCTACCAGACCCAGAGATCAGTTGTATGTATTACAAATAATAAAACTCCACTGTTTAACTATAGGTGACTTGCAAAATGAGCCTATTTCCAGAAAAAGTGGTGTTCATTTTAAGACTAACAATGCACTTTAGCTAAATAAAATGTAAATTTGATTTCACATGGAGTCTTACAACAAGAAGCTTGAGTCTATAATTCACAGAGGCTCGCCAAATCTGGTCAATAGGAGACAGCAGGCTGCATGGTCTCAACATTGAATTTGGCATTAACAACATGAGCATTTAGATCTACCCTGCTATTTATTAATGGGTTAAGGCCCGTGGTGTGGGAGGATTATTGCAGAGGATATTTTTTTAGCATACTTTGGAGACAGTCCTCGCTGCAGCCCACAGCTTGATGACATAATGAACCAGGTCCACTACATAATGGACAATCACCTACACCTTCCCCCACCCTAAACCCAACCACCACAGTAGTATGGGCGTTACCTTAGTGAGAGGTACAATGTCCACTACATAATGGACCTGGTCCAGTACGTCATTGTGGTTACAGACAGTAGAGAGGACATACTGATACTTTAAGCCCCTTTGAGCCCCAACTGAGTATTGTTTAAATATCACAGGCATCCTGAGTATTGTTTCTGACCATATATCCCTCACTCAGCTCAAATCATCTCACACTGGTTTCTTGTAGCAGCACAGTGGCGCAGTGGGTAGTGCTCTTGCAAGAAGGTTGCTGGTTCGAGCCTCAGCTGGGTCAGTTGCCATTTCTGTGTGGAGTTTGCATATTCTCCCCCAACTGTCCAAAGACATGCAGTGCAAGTGAATTGGGTTAGCTAAAATTGTCCGTAGTGTATAAGTGTGAAAGAGTGTGTTTGGGTGTTTCCCAGTGATGGGTTGCAGTTGGAAGGGCATCCGCTGTGTAAAACATGCTGGATAAGTTGGCGATTCATTCTGCTGTGGCGACCCCAGATTAATAAAGGGACTAAGCCGAAAATAAAATTAATGAATGAATGGTTTCTTAAACATAACCTCAAGTTCACTTTACTCAAATGTGCTCAACAGTTCCAGATCTCAATCCAACAGATCAACTTTGGGATGTGTTGGTAGATTTGAATCATGGTTGTGCAGCTGACAAATCGTTATATCAAACTTCAAGCCATTCTATCAGTTTGGACCAAATCGCTGAGAAATGTTTTAGCGCTTAGCCGTAAAGAATTAGGGCAGTTGTCAAGAAAAAAAGGGAGACTGTTGATGAATACATTGACAGCACGGTTTACCATTTTCAAATCACAACTTGCACATTTACATTTGCTAAAGTGTTAAACTTTAACAGAATACATAAAACTGATTTGTGGACTTTGTTTTAAATTAAATAGTTCACTCAAAAATGAAAATCGTAATCATTTACTCATCCTTTACTTGTTCTATACCTGTATAAGTATCTTTCTTCTGTGTCTCTCAGAAGAAAGAAATTGATAAAAGTTTAGAACCACCCAAGATTGAGTAATTGGAACTGTCCCTTTAAAAACATAACTTATGAAATTATTTGTGAAAATTACAAATTACGAGTAATTTATTAGCAAATACAACCTCAGTGTAGTGTGATGGTAAAGCAATTGATTACATGCATGTATATAAAAGATTAAGCAAACTTACATCATCTATAGTTGCCCAAAAAAGGAAGAAAATTGTAGTCAGATGAAGCAAACAGATTCCTGCCAGGGCCTTCAGCATATTCAGAGGACGAGAAGGGAAGCAGGATGCAACGATATCCTGTTGTGACGGAAATATTAAAAGACATGACATCCAATGTCCACAATGATCTCACGATGACTAGTTGAGAACAGCATTTAATTGTGTCTTAAGCTAAGGAAGGAAAAGTGTGTGTGTGTGTGTGTGTGTGTGTGTGTGGGGGGGGGGGGTGTATTATTATTACTACTACTATTTCATTTAACTATTTGATAATTTCTATGGAAATAAGCCATGTGTATTTGCACTTCAAGTCAATTTACCTTAATGCTGATACTGAAAGCAGCCATGTCCTATGACATCATCACATTAAAGTTGCATGAATCCTAACCAACAGACAACAACTGCTCTGTTATCTTCTCTAGGGTCTCCTTTTGGGATACTACTTTTGTTTCCACCGTGATCACATGCACAAATCTCCAATAGGCTAGACCATGTGGGGAAAAAGGGTATCTATATTTCAATGTCATTTCTAAAAATTTACAAACAACAGTGGTGAATTGACGTCACAAAATGCTGAGGCATGCTGTTCACTGAAAATAACAAGGAAGATTTAACTGCAAATACTGTACTCTGATTGAATTCACCTGATGAAAAACTAAACAGTTCAAAAGCTGGCCGGCCTATTATGTTATTATCATTGCATGCAGCTCAAAATAACGTTAATGAGAAACAACAATGCATAAACAATCTATTTGAAGTCAAATGCTTTCCACCTTAGACTATTTACGCGAAAATACACAAAATTAAAAATTACAAACGCGAAATCTCCCGCGAATTATGTCTGACAGAGAAGGAATTCGTGTAACGTCATGCGTTCTTATGCAGCCTCTTTCAACCTGTTTTGCTTAAATTCCGAATGTTCTATTACATTCCAAAACACACATCTCCCATTCTGTTATTCCGAATCTTAACCCTAATGCGTAATTGCGCGAATTATTAATAACTTTATAACCTCGCCAGCATGCGGGTTTTGCAGCAATGGCACATACAGTAAAACATTACCTTAATTGTGTAAATCTTAATTTATTTCTTGCTTTTCGAAGCCTATCTGATGACCCACCATCCAAGGATTCGCACTTCCCCGCACCTCGTCCGCTGTCTCGCCCCCCCTCCCGCACTCTTTGCTGCATAGAGGACCCCACCCATCCCAAGGACTTACTTTTAAGTCCTTACGTATCCCACATCCAGACAGCGAAATCCTAGAATTGTCTTGTCGCTGACAGAAAATGAGGTGCAGTAAAACACACACAAACGATGCTTTCTCTCAATGTCAAAACCGCAATTTATTCAAATATCCAGATGCCTTCTTAAAAGCATTGGAAAGTGTGGCGCATGCTGAATAATTGTCTCTCTGCTAGAGTTTGCAACGTCTCCATCATCCCGTTACCTAGCTGTGATGTGCTATTTATATACAGAGATCTCTACATCCGCATGCCGCAGCATCCTAACTCAGCTCTCCTAGAAATAAACGCTGAACGCAGACTCCGGCAGCAGCACGCTCCACTCGCCCGGCGCCACACACATCACTCACTGCAGTGTTAAACCTGCTGCACCGGCTAAAACGGAGATCATGGCTATCCAACAATAGGGCGATCTGAGCGCCAGTCAAAATCCACCTCTCCAATCAGGACAAAGTAGCGCAAAGGCTGGAAAGTGATGCGCAGGTGCTTTGCAGCGGTTGATGAGTCATCCATTCTAAAGCGACACCTACTGCTGATTTACCTGAACAGCACAGGTGAGATCAGGACCAGCCGTCGGCTTTCATGGAAAAAGTTCCAAAAGTATACCTTATGAGCCGTAAATAAACACTTAATTATAGAAACCTTTGCCCGTAAATTAAATTGTGTAAAAAAAAAAAAAAAAAAAAAAAAAAAAAAAAAAAATATATATATATATATATATATATATATATATATATATATATATATATATATATATATATATATATATATATATATATATATGTATATATATAATTATTAAGTCAGTATTGCGAGTATGTGGTTGGTTAGGTCGACATAACAGAAAGGTTATTTATAACTCGCAATTTTGACTTTACAGCTCTGAATTCTGATTTCATAACTTGCAATTCTGACTTTATAATTTTTTAACAATTATTTACTTATTTTGTTCATTTAGTAGCGGGAACAGTCTTCCATAGGACTATAAATCCATTAATCTATTTTGTTTTAAATTCTGAAAAAAATAAGTAATACATTTGTGTTAGAAAAGAATGAATTTCCTTCACAACATATGCACATATTAATTTGACCAGGAAAAAAAATAGTTTTCCCATGACAGTAAAACAAATATGTGACAAAACCATTCATTGCATTTTGGCAACAGTTAAAATTGTTTTTATTATAATATTAAGCAAAAATCATGTTCTGTGAAGATGCTATTTTGTAAATGTTCTAGTTTTAATATACAGTTGAAGTCAATTAATAGCCCTCCGTTTATGTTTTCCTCAATTTCTGTTTAACGGAGTGAAGATTTTTTTCAACACATTTCTAAACATAATAGTTTAAATAACTCATTTCTCATTGCTGATTTATTTTTTCTTTATCATTATGACAGTAAATAATATTTGACTAAATAATTTTCAGGACACTTTTATACAGCTTAAAGTGTTATTCAAAGGCTTAACTAATTAGGTTAACTAGGTGGGTTAGGGTAATTAGGCAGGTTATTTGTATAATGATGGTTTGTTCTGTAGACTATCGCTAATAATTTTGACCTTAAAATTGTTTTTTAAAAATGTAAAACTGCTATTATATATATATATATATATATATATATATATATATATATATATATATATATATATATAATATTATCAGACATACTGTGAAAATTTCCTTGCTATGTTAAACATCATTTGGCAAATATTTAAAAATAAAGAAAAAAAATTTAAGGGGGCGAATAATTCTGACTTCAACTGTACACACACACAATATATATATATATATATATATATATATATATATATATATATATATATATATATATATATATATATATATATATATAAATATAATGCTTATCCCTAAATATTTCCCTTTAATATAAATTTACTGTAAATAACTGAACTGCACTATTATGCCTCATATGTTTCATTGACAGTTTTATCGATCACTAAGATATGATTGATTTGGATTTAAGTTGCTTCGATTTAAAAATGAAAATTGTAAAAATTAGATGTAGCTAAGGTAGGCTACTTTTGCTATGTAGCTTTTAGCTTAGCCTGCTACATTTCCAAGGGGGTAACTTTTGGTGTTGTTAAGCTACGTTTTAAGTAGAGTAGCTAATAGCTCACTGCATTTTTCAAGCTTGCCCGACTGCATAGTAACACAACCATAATTATTTTTCCCTCAACTTTTTTTCCCCTCTCGTTCCTTCCGCATTGCACTTCTTTTTTTCTTTTCCTTACTTTTCATTTCCCCATGTTTAAACATGAAATTAAAATCTATTGTTAAAAACATTATATTCTGTACAAAAATGTGTCATGCAATATATATATATATATATATATATATATATATATATATATATGTGTGTGTGTGTGTGTGTGTGTGTGTGTGTGTGTGTGTGTGTGTGTGTGTGTGTGTGTGTGTGTGTATAAACATACCAATCTTTTTACTCTTTAAAAGTTTGGGAAAACTATTTTAAAAATGTATAAATCTTTCTAATACGGTGGAGCAGTGGGTAGCACGATCACCTCACAGCAAGAAGGTTGCTGGTTCGAGCCTCAGCCGGGTCAGTTGGCGTATCTGTGTGGAGTTTGCATGTTCTTCTTGTGTTGGGGTGGGTTCCTCCGGATGCTCCAATTTTCCCCACAAGTCCAAAGATGTGGTACAGGTGAATTGGGTAAGCTGAACTGTTTGTCGTTTATGTGTGTGAATGAGTATGGATCTTTCCTAGGGATGGGTTGCAGCTGGAAAGGGCATCTGCGGTGTAAAACATATGCTGGATAAGTTGGTGGTTCATTCCACTGTGGCGACCCCTGATTAATAAAGGGACTAAGCCGAAAAGAAAATGAATGAATAAATCTTTCTTCTGCTCATCAAGGCTGCATATGCAAAAATAGTGTGTGAAACTTTTTGTGTTATTTTAAATGTAATATATTGCTGCAAATTTTAGCATTTCTAAATTCATTTTTGTCATTATATCTGGTGAAATATCATATCTTGTCAAATATCCTTCTCAGTCATTCTAATGTGCTGAATTGCTGCTCAAGCAACCTTTCTGGTGATCATCAGTGTTGAAAACAGTTGGCATATGCTTCATACTTTTGTGGAAACCTTGATAAATGACCAAAGTAGTAATAGCAATATGTTAAAATGTTGCAAAATCTCTTTAAAATTTTTTTTTTTTTAAACTGGTACTATGGTTTAAACACTTATAACAGCAGCTCCGTGTAGCCGTTTAATATTTATTTTCCCAGATATGAAATGAAAACGATCTGTGCGCCCTGTCATTGGCCAATCAACTCCAGCTGTGGCTCATAACAGGTAGGCGTCGTTTCCAAATGTTTTCTATTCTGAGGTATTTATATAGCATGCAAATCAGTGGCTCGTGCGAGCACCAAAAATGATCAAGAGTAATTGAATGAGCCAGATATAGACAAAATATGAATACGCGCGGGCATCTGCAAATACTCTGTGCTTTGTTTTTGGCTTTCTGTAACGAATTTGCTCATGGTCGTGACGAGGTTTCAGGTGCGGAGTCCTTAAAGTTAGATTGGGGGAGAAGGAGGTATCGAAGAGGTTTAGGATTAGTCAGAAATACAAACATTAAAGATGCAGGTCTGACACAACCACAAACTAAACCCCATTTTGAATGCGGCGACGGAGTTTTAGCAGTACTTTTAAAACACGCTGATGTCATCAACACCCAAATTTATGGACGTAAGTATAAAAGGCGTTTTCTTGATGATTGAGGCTTTGCATTTTTTTCTCTTTTTTTTTTTTTTTTTTTTTTTTTTTTTTTTTTTTTTTTTTTTTTTTTTTTTTTGGTTATTGTATTTTTTCGTCAATGTAGTGTAATTCTTGTATTAAATAAAATAAAAAGTATAAACGGCGTTTCCTCTAACTTTCTGATTTAATTTACATCGACCACTTGGTAAGGTGATATCAGTGGATGATTTACAGAAATTTAGAATTGAAATTTTGACAGAGCTGTAGTGCTTAACTTGTGTGTTAAGTTTGTTTTTGTTTTTCTCTCTGTAGTACAGGGGGAACTGCTCCACTTGCCCCAGTTAGAAGTTTTTTGTGGTGTTTCCATCAAGCCTACACCCACACATCTTCACCTGCTGTTCAACTTTGATTCCTGTTATGTAAAAAAAGAGGTAAACTTCAGGCTTTTCAATATGGCGTCTGTAGGTGTTGAATTTACGGTCTGTTAGTACTGCCTAAAATCAAAGCGATTAAAATGGACAACTGCATCTCTCTTAAAGTTCCACACAGTAAGGGTTTTGCTTTGGGTAGGGGAGAACAGGGCACAAAGTAAAACTTTGGTTTTGGCCAAATAATGCACAAAGTATTGGGGTTAGACAAACCGTTTTTTTTTCTTTTTTTTTTTTTAACCAGCAACAAGCAAGCCTCTCCTACACAGAGTACTGAAAGAATGACTGCTGGATCTATGCACACTAAAAATGTTGAGTTATTTATTTATTGGGTTATTTTAACCTTTAGGTTACTCATTTATAACATAACCAGTTGTTAAATATTTTGCGTTCTGTTGGGCTTTATTTGGCTTTTTTTTAATTAAAACTCAACCAGTTGGGTTAATTTTGAGTGAACAGTCAACTGGCTTTACGGACACAGAAAAGCTGTATTAATATGTGTGTGTAAGTTTTGTTTTTGCGTTATAAAGTTTATTTAAGCTCTAGGCAAAGATGCATGTATTTGGGATATCCAGCTGTCATTCTCACCTTTAGGACACAGCGTAGACATTTACACAACCATCATTTTAAAATTAATAGTAGTAATAGTAATACCAGAAGTAATAGTAATACCAGAATGGAAAAAAATAACATTTCATCAAATAACCCAATGCATTAGGTTAAAAAAACCCATATTTAGGAAAGTGCTATAATAACCTGTTGTTGGGTTATATGTTGATATTTTTACCCAACTACATTAACAGTGATTTCTGTTCAGTATTGCCAAAAGTGCCAGGAGTAAAAATGTTACCATTAGTTGTAACGTGTGCTTAAAGTCAGATTTCACGCAATTTTAAATTCATTAACTTTGAATAGAATATTTCCTCAGTATTTAACTTTTTTTTTTTTTAATTCAACACCGCTTGTTTATCTATTAGACCAACACATTTGGATTTATTTGCATTATTATACAATGCATTTATTTGCAATATTAGCATAAAAGTTTTTAATTGGTGTCCTACAGATTGGGTCTTATTTGTAACACCCCATTACAACTAACCCCGTGTTGCATTTTCTTTAATACTGGCTAGCAGTCACAGTTTTTTTTACACCTTTCAAAATGGTTCCATCTTTTAGCCCAGAAGATGGTAACGTTGATCACAACAATGTAAGCTTTTACTTGCATACTTTTAACAGGTTTTTTAAAAATAAAAAATATAGAGTATAATAAAAACACTTATGCTGCAAAAAAATGGTTTCTTCATGCGTCTCTCAAACTGTTTTAGATTTTATCTTGTATATTATGTATTTTACCTTGTGTATTTATTGCTATTGGTCACTTAATTAAGACTATTTTATAACTATAGAAAAGTGGGATTTATAAAATGTGGTAAACTTCTATTATCTCTCCGGTTTATGCAAATTTCGACAAACTTTTAAAAAAAATAATTGTCAGGAAGACATCTGCCGACAATGTGGTGAAAACTTCGGAAGCATGCCATGGTTAACCCTGTGCAAATACCTCAACTCAGTTACATTTTACCTTGCGTTACTTTATGCCCCACACTCCCCTAATGCTTAATTCTTTTTTCCCTTAACTTTTCAGGAAGCTGCACACATTTTGTCTCTTAGATGGTATGGGACAGATTTTGTCCTCCCCTGTCCTGTTCATGTTCCTCCTTCAGTCAGATGTAAGAATGGTGCTATGGAAATGACTGTTGTTCATGGGACAGCAGAAGTACTGTCAGTTGCAAGTGAGTATTGCAAAACGTTAAGACCGTATTGCTGCATTCCAATTTGCATACTATTAGTCCTAAATAGTATTTGAAAATAGAGTACGTTCCAGATTGTAGTACGTTGAAAAAAAGTACGCCAAAGGTTTACCATTTCCTGTACACTAAGTGTAGAACCGACTACTCTAACCGCTGATGTTTCTCACAGTACATTGCGTGTGGGACTTTAAGTCGATTAGAACTACAAATGTGGGTGAAAAGAGAAACTACAAACATGGCGCACACATGAGACCAACTCGAGTAGAGAGGCTTCGGTAGAGATGTTTGTATGACTATTAATATCTCGTTTTGTTATTTCATTTGCAACAATAATACTGAACTTTTATAAAGACGTGTTCGGACCTTAATGTCTGACTGCACAACTATACAAAGACCCGAGGAGATTTCTCTGCACGGAAGATTTGTGAATGGGAGATTAACTTGCTACTGCTTCTCCAATTAGGTAGGAAATTAAATGACAAATGTGGATGATTGACAGGGCTCGTAACTAATCAACACAACGATATGTTGAGGTATTATGTCCCAAAACTCTTTTTACAACTCTCAAAAGTATATATTTTACTTTCACAAAGTACAGGCTTTTAGGGTGTAGTACAAGTATGTGAATTGGAACACAGCGTTTGTTGTCTGACTCTTGACTCTTGCTGACTCTTGTTGTCTCCACAGTAAATGAAAAATGGATACCATTGCTTGATGTGGCTGCTAACTGCTGGCAAAGACCGCATTCTCACAAGAGAAGGCACACTTTCTCCATTCCATATTCAAGCTGTGGGATCCATTTCAGGGTATTTTATTTATTTATTTTTGTATTACTTTTATATGTAAATTTTAAGGTTTTTCTGATTTGTGGTTAAATATTTTTGACTGTAGGATGGTCGCCACGTTCTGCATTTGAAATCTAAAGACAAGTTGATTGTGCTGTCATGTCCATATGATCCAGTGTTTCCAGTCCAATACCCAGGTCAATTATTGCAACAAGGGCACCCTGGGCCACGAGGATTTAATCCCAAAGCTCTAAGCAGTGAGGCTGTGAAGCAAGTGTATGCGTTTGCTGCTGAGAACCAGGAAACAAATGCAGCTAGAACACTTTCTCTGCAACCCAGATCATATTGGCTGCCTAAAATGCCACCTTTGCCTGGCAATTTTAATCTGTCTGTAAGCTTCCCATTTTCAGTTCCCTTACCAAAACATGAGCGTTTGAGAGAAGAACTGATCTTTGTTCCAGACCCCACTCCAACACCTACTCCAACCCCTACCCCATCCACCACAAGCTCTTACGAAGACATATCAGACATTGATGAAAATGACCAATTTCCCAATTATGTCTCTGAGCAGATGGATCGGGATCGTTTTGCTTGGGATAACCTTCCTCCCTATACACGCTATCCATACAAGCATCGTAGACCGAGTCAAGTGAATTCAGTTCTTGCTAATATAGCACAGTATCTTCCACCTGGGTATTTCATATGCTCGAACAATGGTCAAGAACCACCAGTTTTCCCACCAACGTTTCTGCCTCCCATTCTGAATCCTGCTATAAAAAATCAAAATACTGGAAGCGTGCGGTTTACACCCGTTCCTGTGCTTCCTTTGAATGAGTACACCGATCGGCAAATTACGAGGCCTGTAGCTTCTAGCGTCTATGATTCTAGTACCTCGTTTTACCAGCCGAATCGACGTTTTCAGTCTTCTCAGTACCAGCCATACTTTTACCAGGGTAGTTATGGCTATCGGGGTTCCTCCTCTGGTTCCTTGGCTCCTAATGGTCCGCTTATTCCTGTAAACCTGCAATCTCAAGCAAATTATCCTGTGTACCCGGTTTCTCAAGATGTAAGACCCTATCAGACTGATGGAGACCAGTCTCTAAATTCATATCAGGGATCTGTTTTCCAGACCCACCGGAGACGACACCGGCCCGGTCACTTGTTCAACTTTCCAAATTCACCAATGAATCTTGAGGTAGTTTCAGCTGATGCTTACACGGACGGTGCTGATTCGTTTCCTAAAGGTTTTTTCCAGCCACGGTCTATTACTCCTGATCAGCGTCAAGGTTCACCACCAAGAAGAGGTGAATAATGTTGATGTCTGCTTTAATAAATAAGCAATTGTGTGGAAAAAATAAGAGGTTGTGTAAAAGACATGCTTTTGAGCAAACTATGATTGTTCAAGGACTTTAAGTCATGTGTAATAATGATTCAATAAATATTGTAAACTATGCTTGACTTTTTTTTTTTTTTTTTAAAGGTTAGGTTAGGTTTTATACAACACTAATAAAAAGAAATTATTAAATTTTATCAAACTTCTTCTAAACTGCAATAAAATGAATTGGCTTCTCCATGTAATTGCCACTTGTACAGACATTTCCAGTGTAGTACTTAAATTAACTTTGCAGCTAATTACATTTTTGATTGCTTAGACAGTAGTGAAATAAGCACAAGTGAAATTTCAAAAGGAAAATGGTCAACAATGAGCTGTTAACTAATAAAATATCCCGACATGTTTACCTCTGTCATCATATCTAATAAATGTTCTTTTGAAGTTTCCCATTCAATTAAACATTGCAATTAAAAAAAGTTGATACAGGCCTGTAGCCATGGGGGGGGGGGTTTGAAAGACCCACCTCTCACTGACAAAGGTCCAGAATTTGTCCCATTCATTTGTCCTATTTTGACTGCTAGGCCATTATAAATTGTGAAAATAAAGCCCAAGTTGAATCCTCAGTTGGGAATAGATATGCAAGAAAACAATCTGATGTAAGATAAATCATCTACCTCTGTCGACCGATGATATTGTTGAAATAGAGAAAACATTTTAAAAGTAGCTTTTAAATCTTGGACCTTATTCTTAAATGGAAAAAAAGACCAATGGAAAGGCGTTAAGCACCAAAAGTGGTCTGTATTAAAATGAATTTAAATAGTGATTTGGCTAATGTTGTTATATATAAAAATTTTAAATCTCTACAAAATGTTTTTGGTACATTAAAAAGTGTGGTTATGACTAATCCAGCTAAAATGGTGCTTAATTGAACTAAAATGCAGTATTTAAATCTCGTAATTAAAGAGAAAATAAGGCGTATAACTGCTAAAAAGGTCCACTTTTTGAAAAAAAAATATATATATATATATAAGAACCACCCGTTTCAGCAGACTGCTATGGGTGTGTGATGTGACCAAATTTTATGTTCACTTTAAGAATTTGTTGCAGCCATCAAAATCTAATTTATTTAGGCTAATCTTATTTTTTAAATTATATAAAAATCTGCCAGATTATTGTTTTAATAGTTTGGCTTATTTCTGAAAACAAAAATTTTTTACTAGAAAAATGCATCTTGATTTAAGAATTTCTAGATATTTGGACTAGAAAGAAAACAAGCTTATTAATATATTAATTTAACTGCATATCCTTGGTTTCTAAATTAATTTCATCATGTATCCCACTCACTTTGACTACGAGATAAACATGTCACATTCATATAGCTATCAAAATTGCTTTATTGAGAACAAAACATGGTTATGGAATTTGCCTTGTCTGCTAATTCTCCTGACTGACTAGCCTACTGAAATAAATAAAATATCAATGCCGTACATGTGTAATTCTGCTTGAGATTTTGAGGTAGCCTAGTAGACTACTCACGTCATTGGCCGTAAACAGGTGGTCCATATTAATTTGCTGATTACACTAGCAGATTTCCCATACGAGCTCGGATGCGCTTGTGAGGAGAAGCGTTAAACTGGCGATGTCTTGCCAACTAAAAACATTAACTTCAATCCTTATATTATCAGCAATCTCACTTAATCTCAATAGTCTTCATTCTAGCGCTACGGCAAAGCGGGAAGCCGCTGATTATTCAGAAGAAAGCAGTTTCAATAGAGTGTCTAACAATTTCACCGACAAAACTTCACAACAGCTCCACATCAGCGCGTTTCAACTCAACGCAGCAAATTCGGATTTGAATCGACTTAGTGGCTCGATAAAACTTGACGACTCAAATGATCCTTCAGACAGAGCTAGCAATGAAACACAGTCGAGTAAACACACGTATGACTTGCCATACAACGACAGTGCATCTTTATTCACTATCAATGAAAACATACGAAGTAGTTTCCAGAAACGAGCATCTGTTATCGAGGACGGATTTCAAGGCGATGCTCCAGGTAAGATTTCCTGTTTTATAATTATGTATGGTCGAGTGGGAATAAAGTGCCATTTTTTCTTACATTTTTTTTCTTAGAAATTTTTCTAAATAATTCTTAAGTCTCGTTTGAAAAGTAAATGTTTAGACATGCATGGCTTTTTTTGTTGTTGTTGCTGTGTTTACCAACTCAAAAGTTTGTTAAAGATAGTGTAAAAATGTATAACAACTTCAAAATAACTAACCTTTAAACATTAATTGTACAGTATACAGAAGTGGCACAGCAATATTCTACATTTATTAGCATACCTTTGTTTATTGTCCCTGTTGATGTGACCACTGCAAACATGTCCTCTTTCTTTGCAAAAACTATATATATTTTTATTTTATATTTCAGCTCAATCAGGGGTTTCAAAAGTAGCAGAACCACACAAAATTGAATTATATAGAAGTTATTTGTTTATTGTTGGCAATAAGCATTAATTTTATACAACATCTAATTGGAACCACTGTAAACTCCATATGTGGAAGTGAAATATAAGTTATGGCTATCAAAAGGGACAAATGTAACAGTGATTGTTTACATAAGGGCTTCCCTACTTTTCTGCCCGTGACCCCCAAAATGACAATGCCAGTGGCTCGCGACCCCAATATTCTCTGAGGTGGTTATGAAAACAGAAACTTTGCATGCACTGGCACACATGCACAGGAGTCGCAATCCAATAGAATTAGTAACCATAAGCTACTGTAGTATATATATATATATATATATATATATATATATATATATATATATATATATATATATATA